TGCCGCTAAAGCCACATTTCAAGTACAAACTTGGGTGCCGCGAATCGCCTCGAAAGCCACAATGAGTAAGGGAATCAATACCGTTTTCTCAAATAAGCGTCACCCATTGATCACAATGCATAAAAATTGCTATAGTGTCTTGTCCTTTGTTTGTTTAGCTGGACGGCTTCTTTATTCTCTAACATATGTTATATTTGGGATTACACTTTCTTAGTAAAGTAAAAATTCTAGTACTTTTGTTGGGTTGAGTCCCATCCGGGATTCGAACCCGCACCCTCAGATTCAGGCACCTAATCGCCAGCACACAAAGTCAGACGCCTAGACCGCTCAGCCACCGCGGCTTCCAGGCGTCATGAAGACATGAAAAATCCATAAAGAGTTTCATAAGCTCTTATACCCCAGTTGCTCATTGTATGGTATTTAGACAATGTTGAAATATATATACGTTTGAATCAACCTTCAGCCCAGTGCCCAAGAGGAGCACCATTGAAGGACGCCAAAGGGATAGCCTATTTCTGTGGGCTGGGTCCATCTGCTCAGGCGTGTCCGCCAAACAGCGCCTGCGTCACCGACCCACTTGACCGGTTCGCCGTATGCTGTTCTGTTTGAAGACATTCTTACCACATATAGAAATAAACGTTGCGTGTTTGAGGACAAAGTGTTTTCGTTAAAATCTGGGGAAGTACTTGATGCTTCATGTGTGTCTAGGATAGGACTGGTATAGAAGGTCTAGTCCAGCCACCATCCTTGCTTCATGTGTGTCTAGGGTAGGACCGAAGTAGAAGGTTACTCCAGCCACCATCCTTGCTTCATGTGTGTCTAGGGTAGGACCGAAGTAGAAGGTTACCCCAGCCTAAATCCTTTCTTCATGTATGTCTAGGGTAGGACCGAAGTAGAAGGTTACCCCAGCCACCATCCATGCTTCATGTGTCTAGGGTAGGACCGAAGTAGAAGGTTACCCAGCCACCATCCTTGTTTCATGTGTCTAGGGTAGGGACCGAAGTAGAAGGTTACCCCAGCCACCATCCTTGCTTCTTGTGTGTGTCTGCAGGGTAGGACCGAAGTAGAAGGTTACTCCAGCCACCATCCTTGTTTCATGTATGTCTAGGGGTAGGACCGAAGTAGAAGGTTACCCCAGCCACCATCCTTGCTTCTTGTGTGTCTAGGGTAGGACCGAGTGAGAAGGTTACCCAGCCACCATCCTTGTTTCATGTATGTATAGGGTAGGACCGAAGTAGAAGGTTACCCCAGCCACCATCCTTGTTTCATGTGTGTCTAGGGTAGGACCGAAGTAGAAGGTTACCCCAGCCACCATCCTTGCTTCTTGTGTGTCTAGGGTAGGACCGAAGTAGAAGGTTACCCCAGCCACCATCCTTGCTTCATGTGTGTCTAGGGTAGGACCGAAGTAGAAGGTTACCCCAGCCACCATCCTTGTGTCATGTGTCTAGGGTAGGACCGAAGTAGAAGGTTACCCCAGCCACCAACCTTGTTTCATGTGTGTCTAGGTAGGACCGAAGTAGAAGGTTACCCCAGCCACCATCCTTGCTTCTTGTGTGTCTAGGGTAGGACCGAAGTAGAGAAGGTTACCCCAGCCACCATCCTTGCTTCTTGTGTGTCTAGGGTAGGACCGAAGTAGAAGGTTACCCCAGCCACCAACCTTGTTTCATGTGTGTCTAGGGTAGGACCGAAGTAGAAGGTTACCCCAGCCACCATCCTTGTTTCATGTAAGTCTAGGGTAGGACCGAAGTAGAAGGTTACTCCAGCCACCATCCTTGCTTCATGTGTGTCTAGGGTAGGACCGAAGTAGGGATGTTACCCCAGCCACCATCCTTGCTTCATTGTGTGTGTCTAGGGTAGGACCGAAGTAGAAGGTTACCCCAGCCACCATCCTTGCTTCTTGTGTGTCTAGGGTAGGACCGAAGTAGAAGGTTACTCCAGCCACCATCCTTGCTTCATGTGTGTCTAGGGTAGGACCGAAGTAGAAGGTTACCCCAGCCACCATCCTTGCTTCTTGTGTGTCTAGGGTAGGACCGAAGTAGAAGGTTACCCCAGCCACCATCCTTGTTTCATGTGTGTCTAGGGTAGGACCGAAGTAGAAGGTTACTCCAGCCACCATCCTTGTTTCATGTGTGTCTAGGGTAGGACCGAAGTAGAAGGTTACTCCAGCCACCATCCTTGTTTCATGTGTGTCTAGGGTAGGACCGAAGTAGAAGGTTACTCCAGCCACCATCCTTGTTTCATGTGTGTCTAGGGTAGGACCGAAGTAGAAGGTTACTCCAGCCACCATCCTTGTTTCATGTGTGTCTAGGGTAGGACCGAAGTAGAATGTTACCCCAGCCACCAACCTTGTTTCATGTGTGTCACACACTGAGGCCAACACACACTGAGACCAACATACATTGTTGTTCTGTGGGCGTTGGCGTTTTTATGTCTGCTGAATGTCTGACATTCTTCAACCGAAATGATATCACTACCAACATCTGCTGATAGTATGGATTGAGGAGACTACCAACATCTGCTGATAGTATGGATTGAGGAGACCCCAGCAATGATAGGGTACGTCTGAGTGCACGCTTGAGGGTGACATTCCAAAACTTGTTTCTGTCGAAAGTAATTATTTTATAAGCACACAGAAGTAAAAACATTTAACAGGTTTCGTATGTTCTTACATATATGTTGTCCACTGCTCCATTTGGCTCCAACACAGACAATAGACCGATCCAGTCTGTCAATCAATACTGGCGCATGCGTCAATTTTGGCCAAGAAGCAGGCCAGGCGCGCTTTGTGGATTTGTCAGATTTACTTCCGGGGTCAAACGGTGCCTCCAAAGTGATGTGCTTCGAATTATGCCATTCACACTCGCTATATCTATTACATGTTGCTGCGATTTGATGTGTACAATTGACAAAGCCATTACGGTCAAGACAAAAGATTTGAGGCGGATCAAGTAGTGCGATAGGTCTCACGATCAGTTAAGTGTCGGCACCATCGTTCACGAAACCTACGTTTGCTCGAAGGTGAGAATTTGTACGAATTTCCACACTTTTGCACACGTGCAACATCATTGCCAATGGATGACAACAAATAGCAGTTTAAGAATTTGCAAGTGTTATGAACACGGACAATTCTTGTAACTACAAAAATGCTTTTGCTAAACGTTTTTAGTCAATACTGGGCATTGAGTTGGTACGCCATAAAGCTGAAATGAGACAGGCGAGAAAGCCGTGACACAATGTAAACAAATCTGACAGCGATCTGATTTCGGTTAGGGTCGACCGAAATAGCAAAAGTGAAAGAAACAATGTGGTGGATATTGTTGCCTTCGCTCTTAGATATTCTGAAATTTGTCACACATTTTTGGATGTTTTAAGGTTTCACAAGCACAATCTGAAGACCTACTGATAGTACCTGTTAATATTGCAAAATATTCGAGGAGTAATATTTTAATTCAAACGGAAATATAGTCAATGTCAGCAATTGCCTTTCACGTAATATCCAAATATCCAAATTAATTCAAATGGGTGTCTATAAAACCATGCCTTAAATATTTCAGAATTTCTTTATAGAGATTGGACCTTGAATTGAATTACCTTACCCTATGTGGATCGGAGACGAAAACTATGTGAGAAGAATAGTGACTTTCTGGAAACTTAAACGGAGTGAAATAACAGTGTATTTCTTAAATATCAGAACATCATTTGTTTTGAATTTTTGTTACGAGATAAAAAAAAATTTCTTGGTACTAATTAACTTGTTGACTCCTGCTTTAAGATATCTGTGGCTTTTATAGTAATATCTTTACTAATAAAAGTATTCTGAAAGTGATTACTAGTATCATAACTCATAATAAGGTCATTTCAACATCCAGAGAATTTGAAAAAAGGGCTACGTTTTGGTCACACCCAGGTCAGGCATTATTCAGTCTTGAAACAGAATATGTTACAAAATTCTCAGTTGACTATTCATGTAACTGGAATGAATATTGAAACATATATTAAACCCAGATTTGATGTCATACTTCTTAGAAATCATCGGCTTTTGAGGAGGTTACCAATATGTGAAGAGTGAGCCGAAGTGGTGTTTATTAAGATGTTGATGTTGAACAATTGTTCAAGGTTTGTTGATGGTTATTTGGAAAATGAGCTTTATATTAAATTGCACACTGGTTTGAACGAGGTGAAAGCTTCAGGGCATTTTCATGTCTGTTTTTCCTAAGCAGTTCTCATGACTTTTACCAAATTTTGAAACAATTTTAATATATTTTTGATGACACTAGTAAGTATCTCAGAAAAGGAAATAGATCAAAATTAGTGTTATGTCCATTAGGGATATGGTCTCAGGTCTAATAAAGCAAAGATTATCATTATTTAAGAAACAGTGATGTCAATATGTAATTTTATTGACAACAAGCTTTGAACACAGGAAATATTCTTTGCACCTTATTTACGTTAGTAGTTAGCAGTTAAATATCTCTGAAGAAAAGGCAGTATATTTGTATGTTGTGTAACATTCTATTTCAATCCTAGTTAATTGTTTGGATAACTGTGGATCCTCTGGTCAAAGATTTTGCATCACAGGTTTCCTATTTCTGGAAGATGGGTCAGTGTACAGGTGCAGACTGTATCCTGGATCTTCTTTGTGTTCTGGTGCTGTGACGTACCTGTACATAAATGCTGGCAGTTCATGAAGTCCAGTATTGTGGAAGTTTGTAAATTAAGTTTCTACATCAAAGTACTCATAGAAAAATAAACTGGAAAGGATTTCCTTATATACAGTGTCATTTCAGGAAGGTGTACAGATTTTGAAGAGGGACATTTTACTGAGAATTGCTGCAGATTAGCTGCTGAATATTTTCTTCTGGGTATGTCCAGATACATCCATGGAAACATAATGTTTATAAGCCCAATCACATTTTCCAGATTCCCCAAAGAGATTAAATAGGTTATGCTGTGATTTGTTACTTAAATATATACAGACAAATAAGGTGCACGAAGTCGTAGACGGGAAATATGTTTCTGCTTTGTTCATTAAAAGGTAGAAAGCCATGTTTACACATTATTGATGTAACTAAATTTGAACAACGAATAGATACATAAAGGCGCCACGCGCAGTGTTGACAATCTATTTATAGATACCGAAACGATCTGCAACTTGAACACGGGGTTGTGTTCACGGATTTTTATATAATTACGATGGGAATTTTTGAGAAAAACAAACTGTTGCGCAGTGGAAAATAAAACGATTGGGCAGAGCTATGCAAATTAACTGAATTCCTAATCAACTAAAATTTCGAACTTACCTTTTGGCCTAAAACAAGGAACTAAACGTGATAACTATTATAAGTGAGAAAACTATGAAATTTACAAAGAACTAAACGTGATTCTCTTAAGTGATTCTAAATGAACTTTGAGATGAAACGAACTGCTAAATACCGCTAATTGTCTAACCCTTAAACACACTAATGCAAGTTCAACAACCTAACGCCACAATAGCCAATTGAACCTACACATCTAATATCTAACATCTAAGTCATTCGTAGTCTAAATAAATGCCAACACACGACATGTAACGAACAGCACCGAATGGCAGAAAGGAGCGAATGGTCCGTGTATCGCTGACCACCGTCTTATATATGCAAAACCTATTCGTTTTTCCCGTGCACTGCACCGGGTGTGTTCGGGTGATACGCCTAGTATGCACCGAGTGCGTTTGGGCGAGCAGTTTTAGTGACAAAACCAAAATGCCTTCAGAACACAAACAAATAACATAATTCAGTTACCCGTCCCCTGCATATATCTGATATTTAGACGGACGTGAATTGCTAGATAGAGTATTTGGTACGAAAGAAAATACGCTTCCTACTCTCAGCAACTGGTCGGGACGATTTTTCATCGGGCATGTAACTCATTTTCACTCGCCAGTTGCAATCAGTCAACTAAAATCTATTAAAATAAAATACGTATAACTATCCTTTTTAAATATCATTCACAAACGACGGATACCAAAGTACCACAAGAGAATTCAGCAACAACGTTCGCAGTCACGTTTCCCCGGCGGTGACGCCATGGTGATTCGTCAGTGGTTGTCCCCCCTAACGTCAAAAACGAAGTGGGCGGGGCTTATCGGCCGGGACTGGATCGGCCTATTGCCTCGGTTGGAAGATGATCACGCTCAAGAAAATCTAACACCGCATGTGAAGCATGTGAGTAAGTGATAATCTAAATATCGGAACTTTTCGGAAATACAAGACCTAACTCAAAGTATTCAGTGATTGAGGAATGTATCTCATCATTAACATCACTGCCTCGTGCAGAGTCTCTGAAGGTAACACTAGACATCACAGGTCGCCACTATACTTATTGAAACTGAAGTGTTAAATACAAGTCAGTAGCCAACAGGATCAATACACATCCTGGGGCAAGTTCCACAACACTTCCTGTTGCCGGGACAGTCTTGGTCTGTGCTGCAATGTGGATTCAGAGGACAAGATGGTAGGGACTCCGGGCACTGGGAGAGTTTAGGACACACCCCATTCTTCACAGTTGATATGGGTACTTTACATACTCTGGGGCAGCTCCCACAACACTTCCTGTCGCCTGGACAATCGGCGTCGTGGTCACACCTCGCTGTACACAGTCCTGTGATGGGAGACTCCACGGGACACACGCCAAGCTTCACTGAAACAGAAGCGACTGTTGGGGAGATAGGTTGGCTCGTAACGCGTCTGTACGGTCAGATTACCAATACTAAACACTGAGTTGTATGTTTGATGTATAACGTCTGGAAGACAAATTAATGACACTGATTACAAATCTGAACACTGAGTTGTATGTTTGATGTATAACGTCTGGAAAACAAATTAACATGACACTGATTACAAATCTGAACACTGAGTTGTATGTTTGATGTATAACGTCTGGAAGACAAATTAACATGACACTGATTACAAATCTGAACACTGAGTTGTATGTTTGATGTATAACGTCTGGAAAACAAATTAACATGACACTGATTACAAATCTGAACACTGAGCTGTATGTTTGATGTATAACGTCTGGAAGACAAATTAACATGACACTGATTACAAATCTGAACACTGAGTTGTATGTTTGATGTATAACGTCTGGAAGACAAATTAATGACACTGATTACAAATCTGAACACTGAGTTGTATGTTTGATGTATAACGTCTGGAAGACAAATTAACATGACACTGATTACAAATCTGAACACTGAGTTGTATGTTTGATGTATAACGTCTGGAAGACAAATTAACATGACACTGATTACAAATCTGAACACTGAGTTGTATGTTTGATGTATAACGTCTGGAAGACAAATTAACATGACACTGATTACAAATCTGAACACTGAGCTGTATGTTTGATGTATAACGTCTGGAAGACAAATTAACATGACACTGATTACAAATCTGAACACTGAGTTGTATGTTTGATGTATAACGTCTGGAAGACAAATTAACATGACACTGATTACAAATCTGAACACTGAGCTGTATGTTTGATGTATAACGTCTGGAAGACAAATTAACATGACACTGATTACAAATCTGAACACTGAGCTGTATGTTTGATGTATAACGTCTGGAAGACAAATTAACATGACACTGATTACAAATCTGAACATTGAATTGTATGTTTGATGTATAACGTCTGGAAGACATATTAACATGACACTGATTACAAATCTGAACACTGAGCTGTATGTTTGATGTATAACGTCTGGAAGACAAATTAACATGACACTGATTACAAATCTGAACGCTGAGCTGTATGTTTGATGTATAACGTGTGGAAGACAAATTAACATGACACTGATTACAAATCTGAACATTGAGTTGTATGTTTGATGTATAACGTCTGGAAGACAAATTAACATGACACTGATTACAAATCTGAACACTGAGCTGTATGTTTGATGTATAACGTCTGGAAGACAAATTAACATGACACTGATTACAAATCTGAACATTGAATTGTATGTTTGATGTATAACGTCTGGAAGACAAATTAACATGACACTGATTACAAATCTGAACATTGAATTGTATGTTTGATGTATAACGTCTGGAAGACAAATTAACATGACACTGATTACAAATCTGAACATTGAATTGTATGTTTGATGTATAACGTCTGGAAGACAAATTAACATGACACTGATTACAAATCTGAACATTGAATTGTATGTTTGATGTATAACGTCTGGAAGACATATTAACATGACACTGATTACAAATCTGAACACTGAGCTGTATGTTTGATGTATAACGTCTGGAAGACAAATTAACATGACACTGATTACAAATCTGAACACTGAGCTGTATGTTTGATGTATAACGTCTGGAAGACAAATTAACATGACACTGATTACAAATCTGAACATTGAGTTGTATGTTTGATGTATAACGTCTGGAAGACAAATTAACATGACACTGATTACAAATCTGTTTGTGATGCCTGGTCCACTGATTCCACGATCTGCGAGTGTATTTGTGTTGACTCAGAGGTGTGACTGTCAAGTCTCACTTATAGGAATCCCAAGGTCACTGCTTCGACTCACGGAGATTAGTATCACACGCGGGCAACCTAAACTAAAATCAGGGAAGGCATTATCTAACTATATTCAACATGTACGATATGCTCACCTTGGGGTACACACTCAGGACGTGGTGGTGGACATGGACCCAGGATGCAGTGAGAGAACCGGACCTTACACGCCATGTTGGGGGGACACCACTTGATCTGCAATATGGGTGTTCAAGCTGATTGAACATTTGGAGAGTTTTACATTAGATTCTTCTCAAACAACAGAGCTTAGTGTGTTTAATACGTTGTCCTCGGGTCGTGTCTTGATTATTTCAAAAACGTGAAACTGTTAATTCTCATGCTGGTTTTTACTTAAAGGACATACGACAGGCGAGGCTGATGGCGAGGACAGTCTTATTTCGGAATTCTTTAAGACATCGAAGGATATATTGGTAGCGTATATTGAGGTTTAATTATAGCGTTAGCTTTGCATCTGTACGACTAGTGGAATAGTGGAGTACAGGTATTATTATTCCATAGTATAAAAACTGGTGATCACCTAAATCCCAACGTTTACAGAGTTGGTGACATGTTAGGTTCATCAGACAAATTATATGCATCTGTCCCGAATGCAAAGCAGTCTTTCTGGACTATAGCTACTCCCTGTGAAATATGTTGCCGTCCCAAGTAGGCTTTAGATATGGACACGATACAGGTGACAATATTCTTCAGCCTGTGATAGAACACATTTTATCAAGGAATGAGTGAGTGAGTTTGGTTTTACGCCGCTTTTAGCAATATTCCAGCAATATCACGACGGGGGACACCAGAAATAAGCTTCACACATTGTACCCATGTGGGGAATCTTATCAAGGAATGAAGTTTGTCAGGTTTGTCAGGTGTTGTTTTTGCACATGATATGTTTGACATGATATATCTTCAAACGATTGTGAGCAGTATCTCATTGCTGTCAAATTAGATTTGAATTGATGATCCGTTATCAAAATAGGGCATGCTATGCATTGGCAAACATCATTTCGTTCTTGTTTGTACTGTTTACCAACTGATATAAATATATTCCACAAATATACCGTACCATATTTTCCCGACATTAGATACGTGTATTAAGTTATTGTCGTTAAAGTAATGTGGCCACTCTACAATTAACTCTTTCTACTCATATAGCAATGAACCTCTTTGTTCGTTAATAGTTAAATGGTGAATGTTCTCTCTCTGTCTCTGTACCGTTGTAATGTAGTATGACCCATGGGCTACACTACACTGTACCTTTGTAATGTAGTATGACCCATGGGCTACACTACACTGTACCTTTGTAATGTAGTATGACCCATGGGCTGCACTACACTGTACCGTTGTAATGTAGTATGACCCATGGGCTGCACTACACTGTACCTTTGTAATGTAGTATGACCCATGGGCTACACTACACTGTACCTTTGTAATGTAGTATGACCCATGGGCTACACTACACTGTACCTTGTAATGTAGTATGACCCATGGGCTGCACTACACTGTACCGTTGTAATGTAGTATGACCCATGGGCTGCACTACACTGTACCTTTGTAATGTAGTATGACCCATGGGCTACACTACACTGTACCGTTGTAATGTAGTATGACCCATGGGCTGCACTACACTGTACCTTTGTAATGTAGTATGACCCATGGGTTACACTACACTGTACCTTTGTAATGTAGTATGACCCATGGGCTACACTACACTGTACCTTGTAATGTAGTATGACCCATGGGCTGCACTACACTGTACCTTGTAATGTAGTATGACCCATGGGCTACACTACACTGTACCTTTGTAATGTAGTATGACCCATGGGCTGCACTACACTGTACCTTTGTAATGTAGTATGACCCATGGGCTGCACTACACTGTACCTTTGTAATGTAGTATGACCCATGGGCTGCACTACACTGTACCTTTGTAATGTAGTATGACCCATGGGCTACACTACACTGTACCCTTTGTAATGTAGTATGACATGGGCTGCACTACACTGTACCTTTGTAATGTAGTATGACCCATGGGCTACACTACACTGTACCTTGTAATGTAGTATGACCCATGGGCTACACTACACTGTACCTTGTAAGTAGTATGACATGGGCTACACTACACTGTACCTTTGTAATGTAGTATGACCCATGGGCTGCACTACACTGTACCTTTGTAATGTAGTATGACCCATGGGCTGCACTACACTGTACCTTTGTAATGTAGTATGACCCATGGGCTACACTACACTGTACCTTTGTAATGTAGTATGACCCATGGGCTGCACTACACTGTACCTTTGTAATGTAGTATGACCCATGGGCTACACTACACTGTACCTTTGTAATGTAGTATGACATGGGCTGCACTACACTGTACCTTTGTAATGTAGTATGACCCATGGGCTACACTACACTGTACCTTTGTAATGTAGTATGACCCATGGGCTACACTACACTGTACCTATGTAAGTAGTATGACATGGGCTACACTACACTGTACCTTTGTAATGTAGTATGACCCATGGGCTGCACTACACTGTACCTTTGTAATGTAGTATGACCCATGGGCTGCACTACACTGTACCTTTGTAATGTAGTATGACCCATGGGCTACACTACACTGTACCTTTGTAATGTAGTATCACATGGGCTACACTACACTGTACCTTTGTAAAGTAGTATGACATGGGCTACACTACACTGTACCTTTGTAATGTAGTATGACCCATGGGCTGCACTACACTGTACCTTTGTAATGTAGTATGACCCATGGGCTGCACTACACTGTACCTTTGTAATGTAGTATGACCCATGGGCTACACTACACTGTACCTTTGTAATGTAGTATGACCCATGGGCTACACTACACTGTACCTTTGTAATGTAGTATGACATGGGCTACACTACACTGTACCTTTGTAATGTAGTATGACCCATGGGTTACACTACACTGTACCTTTGTAATGTAGTATGACCCATGGGCTACACTACACTGTACCTTTGTAATGTAGTATGACCCATGGGCTGCACTACACTGTACCTTTGTAATGTAGTATGACCCATGGGCTACACTACACTGTACCTTTGTAATGTAGTATGACATGGGCTGCACTACACCGTACCGTTGTAATGTAGTATGACCCATGGGCTGCACTACACTGTACCTTTGTAATGTAGTATGACCCATGGGCTGCACTACACTGTACCTTTGTAATGTAGTATGACCCATGGGCTACACTACACTGTACCTTTGTAATGTAGTATGACATGGGCTGCACTACACTGTACCTTTGTAATGTAGTATGACCCATGGGCTACACTACACTGTACCTTTGTAATGTAGTATGACCCATGGGCTACACTACACTGTACCTTTGTAAGTAGTATGACATGGGCTACACTACACTGTACCTTTGTAATGTAGTATGACCCATGGGCTGCACTACACTGTACCTTGTAATGTAGTATGACCCATGGGCTGCACTACACTGTACCTTTGTAATGTAGTATGACCCATGGGCTACTACACTACACTGTACCTTTTGTAATGTAGTATGACCCATGGGCTGCACTACACTGTACCTTTGTAATGTAGTATGACCCATGGGCTACACTACACTGTACCTTTGTAATGTAGTATGACATGGGCTGCACTACACTGTACCTTTGTAATGTAGTATGACCCATGGGCTACACTACACTGTACCTTTGTAATGTAGTATGACCCATGGGCTACACTACACTGTACCTTTGTAAGTAGTATGACATGGGCTACACTACACTGTACCTTTGTAATGTAGTATGACCCATGGGCTGCACTACACTGTACCTTTGTAATGTAGTATGACCCATGGGCTGCACTACACTGTACCTTTGTAATGTAGTATGACCCATGGGCTACACCACACTGTACCTTTGTAATGTAGTATCACATGGGCTACACTACACTGTACCTTTGTAAAGTAGTATGACATGGGCTACACTACACTGTACCTTTGTAATGTAGTATGACCCATGGGCTGCACTACACTGTACCTTGTAATGTAGTATGACCCATGGGCTGCACTACACTGTACCTTTGTAATGTAGTATGACCCATGGGCTACACTACACTGTACCTTTGTAATGTAGTATGACCCATGGGCTACACTACACTGTACCTTTGTAAAGTAGTATGACATGGGCTACACTACACTGTACCTTTGTAATGTAGTATGACCCATGGGCTGCACTACACTGTACCTTTGTAATGTAGTATGACCCATGGGCTACACTACACTGTACCTTTGTAATGTAGTATGACCCATGGGCTGCACTACACTGTACCGTTGTAATGTAGTATGCCCCATGGGCTACACTACACTGTACCTTTGTAATGTAGTATGACCCATGGGCTACACTACACTGTACCGTTGTAATGTAGTATGACCCATGGGCTGCACTACACTGTACCGTTGTAATGTAGTATGACCCATGGGCTACACTACACTGTACCTTTGTAATGTAGTATGACCCATGGGCTGCACTACACTGTACCTTTGTAATGTAGTATGACCCATGGGCTACACTACACTGTACCTTTGTAATGTAGTATGACCCATGGGCTACACTACACTGTACCTTTGTAATGTAGTATGACCCATGGGCTACACTACACTGTACCGTTGTAATGTAGTATGACCCATGGGCTGCACTACGAAAGGAATAAAAGGCTACTAATGTGTCTGCTTTTCACTTTTAGGAACCACATCTTGCTTATGGTCAGTTCACTCAACAAGACTGTGTGTGCAGCAGAGGTAGCTAGATTATATCACACACACTTTACTACAGCTATCCCCTTATATCACATACACTTTACTAGTTATCCACTTATATCACAAGCACTTTACTAATTATCCCTTATTTCACACACACTTTACTAAAGTTATCCCCTTATATCACATACACTTTACTACAGTTATCCCCTTATGTCACACACACTTTACTACAGTTATCCCCTTATATCACACACGCTTAACTACAGTTATCCACTTATATCACACACGCTTTACTAAAATTATCCCCTTATATCGCATACGCTTTACTACCGTTATTCACTTATATCACATACACTTTACTACAGTTATCCCCTTATATCACACACACACACTTTACTACAGTTATCCCCTTATATCACATACACTTTACTACAGTTATCCCCTTATATCACACACACTTTACTACAGTTATCCCCTTATATCACACACACTTTACTACAGTTATCCCCTTATATCACACACACACACTTTACTACAGTTATCCCCTTATATCACATACACTTTACTACAGCTATCCCCTTATATCACATACACTTTACTACAGTTATCCCCTTACATCACATACACTTTACTACAGTTATCCCCTTATATCACATACACTTTACTACAGCTATCCCCTTACATCACATACACTTTACTAGTTATCCCCTTATATCACATGTACTTTACTATAGTTATCACCTTATATCACATACACTTCACGACAGTTATCCCCTTATATCACACACACTTTACTATAGCTATCCCCTTATATCCCACACACTTTACTAGTTATCCCCTTATATCACATGCACTTTACTATATTTATCTCTTTATATCACATACACTTTACTCTAGTTATCCCCCAACCGAGACCTTGTGAGATGTATAAAAACAAGATCAGTTTGTTAAGTAAACGTTTACATTTACAACAGCAGTAAAGTTGTTCAACAAGGTGTGCATGGGCAACTGCAGGTAATATCGTGCAGTAATAGAGTGGAACTAGTATACCTACTGTACATGGGTCAGGTAATATCGTGCATTAATAGCGTGGAACTAGAACACCTACTGTACATGGGTCAGGTAATATCGTGCAGTAATAGAGTGGAACTAGTATACCTACTGCACATGGGTCAGGTAATATCGTGCAGTAATAGAGTGGAACTAGTATACCTACTGCACATGGGTCAGGTAATATCGTGCAGTAATAGAGTGGAACTAGTATACCTACTGCACATGGGTCAGGTAATATCGTGCATTAATAGCGTGGAACTAGAACACCTACTGTACATGGGTCAGGTAATATCGTGCAGTAACAGTGTGGAACTAGAACACCTACTGTACATGGGTCAGGTGATATCGTGCAGTAACAGTGTGGAACTAGAACACCTACTGTACATGGGTCAGGTAATATCGTGCAGTAATAGAGCGGAAGTAGAATATCTACTGTACATGGGTCAGGTGAAATCGTGCATTACTATATCGGTAGTATTTTTCCTGTACCACGATTGGTCAAAAAACCGTCACATGATTGACTACAAAACACGATATTGACTTGAGTTTTCTGATAAATTACGATATTGACTTGGGTTACTAAAAATAGACAAGGAATCCCGTACGAAGGGGCTTCTCCAACTTTTCAGCCAATCAGATCACTCGGATAGATGGCACAGTGTGTGCATTAAAAGTTTATGTCAAAACCCGTTTCTCTTTCATTATATAATAAAACAATTATAGACTCTTGTAGAGGTCGATATCGGTTTTTATTGACCTGAGAAAAACAATATTGTTTTACTCAGGTCAATAAAAACCGATAACGACTTCTACAAGAGTCTATAATTGTATAGTAATAGCGTGGAACTAGAATACCTACTGCACATGCGTCGGGTGATATCGTGCAGTTATAGAGTGGAACTAGTGTACCTAGTGTATATGCTTCAGGTAATATCGTGCAGTAATAGAGTGGAACTAGTATACCTACTGTACATGCGTCGGGTGATATCGTGCAGTAATAGAGTGGAACTAGTATACCTACTGTACATGCGTCAGGTGATATCGTGCAGTAATAGAGTGGAACTAGAATACCTACTGTACATGCTTCAGGTGATATCGTGCAGTAATAGAGTGGAACTAGAATACCTACTGCACATGCGTCAGGTAATATCATTCAGTAATAGAGTGGAACTAGTATACCTACTGTACATGCGTCGGGTGATATCGTGCAGTAATAGTGATATCGTGCAGTAATAGAGTGGAACTAGAATACCTACTGCACATGCGTCAGGTGATATCGTGCAGTAATAGAGAGGAACTAGAATACCTACTGTACATGAGTCAGGTAATATCGTGCAGTAATAGAGAGGAACTAGAATACCTACTGTACATGCGTCAGGTAATATCGTGCAGTAATAGAGAGGAACTAGCATACCTACTGCACATGCGTCAGGTAATATCGTGCAGTAATAGAGAGGAACTAGAATACCTACTGTACATGGGTCAGGTAATATCGTGCAGTAATAGAGAGGAACTAGAATACCTACTGCACATGCGTCAGGTAATATCGTGCGGTAATAGAGAGGAACTAGAATACCTACTGTACATGCGTCAGGTAATATCGTGCAGTAATAGAGAGGAACTAGCATACCTACTGCACATGCGTCAGGTAATATCGTGCAGTAATAGAGAGGAACTAGAATACCTACTGTACATGGGTCAGGTAATATCGTGCAGTAATAGAGAGGAACTAGAATACCTACTGCACATGCGTCAGGTAATATCGTGCGGTAATAGAGAGGAACTAGAATACCTACTGCACATGCGTCAGGTGACATCGTTCAGTAATAGAGAGGAACTAGAATACCTACTGTACATGGTTCAGGTGTCATCGTGCAGTAATAGAGTGGAACTAGTGTACCTACTGTACATGGTTCAGGTGACATCGTGCGGTAATAGAGTGGAACTAGTGTACCTACTGTACATGGTTCAGGTGACATCGTGCGGTAATAGAGAGGAACTAGAATACCTACTGCACATGCGTCAGGTGATATCGTGCAGTAATAGAGTGGAACTAGAATACCTACTGTACATGGTTCAGGTGACATCGTGCAGTAATAGAGTGGAACTAGTGTACCTACTGTACATGTTTCAGGTGACATCGTGCAGTAATAGAGAGGAACTAGTGTACCTACTGTACATGGTTCAGGTGACATCGTGCGGTAATAGAGAGGAACTAGAATACCTACTGCACATGGTTCAGGTGACATCGTGCAGTAATAGAGTGGAACTAGTGTACCTACTGTACATGTTTCAGGTGACATCGTGCAGTAATAGAGAGGAACTAGTGTACCTACTGTACATGGTTCAGGTGACATCGTGCAGTAATAGAGAGGAACTAGTGCACCTACTGTACATGGTTCAGGTGACATCGTGCGGTAATAGAGTGGAACTAGTGTACCTACTGTACATGGTTCAGGTGACATCGTGCGGTAATAGAGAGGAACTAGAATACCTACTGCACATGGTTCAGGTGACATCGTGCAGTAATAGAGAGGAACTAGTGTACCTACTGCACATGGTTCAGGTGACATCGTGCAGTAATAGAGAGGAACTAGTGTACCTACTGTACATGGTTCAGGTGACATCGTGCAGTAATAGAGTGGAACTAGTGTACCTACTGTACATGGTTCAGGTGACATCGTGCGGTAATAGAGTGGAACTAGTGTACCTACTGTACATGGTTCAGGTGACATCGTGCGGTAATAGAGAGGAACTAGAATACCTACTGCACATGCGTCAGGTGATATCGTGCAGTAATAGAGTGGAACTAGTGTACCTACTGTACATGGTTCAGGTGACATCGAGCAGTAATAGAGAGGAACTAGTGTACCTACTCGTACATGGTTCAGGTGACATCGTGCAGTAATAGAGAGGAACTAGTGTACCTACTGTACATGGTTCAGGTAATATCGTGCAGTAATAGAGAGGAACTAGAATACCTACTGCACATGGTTCAGGTAATATCGTGCGGTAATAGAGAGGAACTAGAATACCTACTGCACATGGTTCAGGTGACATCGTGCAGTAATAGAGTGGAACTAGTGTACCTACTGTACATGGTTCAGGTGACATCGTGCGGTAATAGAATGGAACTAGTGTACCTACTGTACATGGTTCAGGTGACATCGTGCAGTAATAGAAAGGAACTAGAATACCTACTGCACATGGTTCAGGTGACATCGTGCAGTAATTTTAGAACTTCAAGGTAGTACCGGTATATCGCAATACGCTTTTCAAACGACACGTATTGCAATATTTTTCTGAGAACCGTTATATTGGGTTAAAAACATATATGAAGTTTTTGTGATTATCGTTATGGTTTAAACTAAAATCTACATATACAATGTAATTTCATTCACAACGAATGTTATTCGTTATTCAATGACAAAACGGCATACTGTAATACTTAAAGAAAATTATAAAAAAGAACATAGAATCCCTGACTATGCAACCCAATTTTGAGATAGCTGTGCCATAACATATATGTTAAAATACTTATAATGTAGAAAATCGGATTGACATGCACAATTAGTATCACTCACTGTCAAACAATTAAGCTCCCAATATATGGCAATATGTATCGCAATACAGGTACCTGAATCGCAATATATTGCAATACAATATATTTGCCGATACACAGCCCTAGCAGTAATAGAGTGGAAATAACACCTACTACACATGGGTCAGGTCTGTGACTGTAGGCAATGCAGCTGGTCACACAGCAGAGAATCACCTGGAAATGTATTGAAGACACCTTTATGTAGTTATCGCTATTCAAAAAGTGTACATTGGTATGCAGTGAAATCCACGCCCCAATATGTATTTCAATAAGATGAATAGTGTGTGGTAGCCGTATAATATAGAACTTACGATTGGAAATGGTCTCCTGCAACTCATGCTTGTACTACTAACTGAACGGCCAATCAGTGGAATGCTCGAGTCCAGACTCGAATATTTACACTTATTTTAATATTCCGTGCGACTTAAAACTGTACTTCTGGTGTGAAGTTCAAGAGTTACATATCTTACAGCATGGCAGTATCTTTGTGTGGGTTATATTTCCTGGTTTGTCAAGAACATCATTGAGCTCATGGTATTCCCCCACATCATTCACATCTACAAGCGCGAGGCGTAGAGATATCGACAAGTAAATGTAAGTTTGCAACACTTACCAATGTGACAAGCGACATGTTGTGCAGCTTCTTTATGCAAGTGGAGTAAGACGGAATGAATGTGAAGGACATGTGCTCGTTAATCATGTTGACACTTGACGTGGGAACACCAGACAAGCAGCATACAACGGCAAAACGTAGTCACGTTCATAGTTTAATAATGTCACGAACAACAGACTAGGAGTGAATGTTCGTGGTAAGCAAACCACCTCTCTCTGACCTTTCCTAACCATTTCAACCAACGTACTAATCCCTGCACTCATTTGGAACCTATGATGACAGTTTAGCACCGCATTTCTGTAAATATTCTATTTGCAGAAACAAAACACACACCTCTTGAATTCTGCAGACAACGGAAGCGTGTATCACATGTTTTGTAACATCCACAGTGATTACTGACATCTTCACAGATAGTCCCACGTGTCAGGTTTCGTGTTAATCCGCTCCATTAACATTATTTAATGTTTGTTCTTATTCACATGTCGGAGCAAACAGTCTTGCCGAGTTTCTGATCCCGTTTTCTTTGTCAAATAACAGAACATTACAAGAAATAATTCATGTTTCACCAAAGGATCCGAAAAGGGCAGGGCGACATAATTTCAAAAGGGGCACCCATCATGCAATGACAGATTATGTTAGTTATTCATGCATATGTGGCAGTGTTGCATATGTATATATCTGTATTTTACATATTTGTATATATTCACTGTTGTAATGAAATAATGTACTAATTTTTACTGTGAAGTACAGAATAAAATAAACTTCCTTTCTATTTAGCTCCTCGTTGACTTGTCTTTAATTCACCTTTAATATTATTTAACTGCCTTTGGGTAGCTGTGGGGTTAGACTGCATAGCTTGGGTCACTCCTTTGTTTAAGATAGCTTACGCTTGATTGGCCTTGTTTAAAATACTAATGTTGAGCACTTCACCAGCACAGCACACAACCACTGTAGACTGGGACTGAACAGACATTATTACAGGTAAGTTATGCATTTTGTATTTTACAATTATGTACTTGTATATAGTGCTTAATCAGTTATAGTAAAATCATGTTTTAATATTATCTATATAATCAATATAGGTATAACCAAAAAATGTAATTTAACTAAAACAGTAAGTCTATACACAGTTTAATTCACCTGGACATCAGCTTTTCACTTTCCTATTTCTGCCCTTGAGAATGAGTGAACGAGTATTCACTTTTTATCATTTATGTGTTTGTCTATAACTATGTGTGTATGATTTGAAGTGTTCACGGGTATGGTTTGGGTCATACATGATATGTTACCCAGTCTTTCCATAGTATTTATATTTGTATATTTATTTGTATTTAGATGCAGTTGCTATAATCAACTGGTGCAGTCAGTCCGCGCCCCAGTACTAACCACAGGGTACGCTTATAAATATTGTTGTGTATTTATAAAAACTAGTCTTTATGTATATCATATGTATTCATAGTCAGTGTAGTTTATCCTTGAATGTATTTGATAAATGTATGAGTTGACTACATTATACCACGTCATCAGCTTGATTAAATGTGTGAATATATATGAATATAAATATTAATTGTGATTATGATTGTGATTGTAATGTACCTTTACATATGCATGTGTGTACATATCTATGTACTCATTGATGTGTATATGTTTCAGGGCGTTTGTTCTGACGTATACTCCGCCAATAAAGCCTTTAAACTTAAAACCCGACCTGTGTGTCATGACTGAACACCCCCGGTTACACATATGATTCTTAAAGACTCAAAGAGCACAGTTATGTCATGTAATTTCAACTTGAAACTAAAGAAACTAAAAACCTCCAAGTGTTAATATCAGTTATTGTATTAAAAGAAGGGCAGGCTTTCAAGTAAACATGGCCTAGGGGAAACACTAAATAATGTGTTTTGTCCTTGAATTCCTGTCCTTGTCCAGCAGGGAGTATTGGGGCTTCTGTTTACATTGTAATTCACAGCCGTTATAGAAAATCTGGGATATCTTCAACAATATTTCCTTGACCCGGGACAGTCATTATCCCAGAAGCAGAGATACCTAGGAGAACAGTGTGGGGCAGCGTCCGGACACTGGGGGGTGCACGGGCAGAGATACCTAGGAGGACAGTATGGGGCAGCGTCTGGACACTGGGGGGTGCACGGGCAGAGATACCTAGGAGGACAGTATGGGGCAGCGTCCGGACACTGGGGGATGCACGGGCAGAGATACCTAGGAGGACAGTATGGGGCAGCGTCTGGACACTGGGGGGTGCACGGGCAGAGATACCTAGGCGGACAGTATGGGGCAGCGTCCGGACACTGGGGGGTGCACGGGCAGAGATACCTAGGAGGACAGTATGGGGCAGCGTCTGGACACTGGGGGGTGCACGGGCAGAGATACCTAGGAGGACAGTATGGGGCAGCGTCCGGACACTGGGGGGTGCACGGGCAGAGATACCTAGGAGGACAGTATGGGGCAGCGTCCGGACACTGGGGGGTGCACGGGCACATGTCCACCACAACTTCTGGAGCCGCACACTCGCTCGGACAACGGTCACCACACCAGGGATTCAGTTTACAGTCGCAGAACTTGCCCCGTGCTTATCTGGAACCATACATGTGTCGCACACACTGACCAATTTTGAAGCAAGATGGTACAAACGGACAGGTCCGTCCTCACTCACCCCGCAGGGTCACAACTAGTTTACTCTGCGGTGTACAGATTACACAGAGCAGGATTGGTGGCTGAATGTTAGACTGAGCACAACACATTACCAGGAGATTCCAGAATAAATCCACAGACATACCTCGCAGGCACCGTCAACATGGACAGCGTAGTCAGCAGCAGCAACGTTAATACCTCGTCAACAACATAACACTGACGCTGACAGGTGTTATGGGGCGTGTTTTTTTGTAATTTGTAATATCACATTGATTAAGTGATACTTATTATGGGTCACAATGTTTAAACTATTGAGTGTGGGTTTTGGCTCGCATCTCGTATCATATATGTTTCATCATGCCGTGTGTTCCACATGATTCCATAAGACGATAATGGTGGAGCCTACCTTTGCTAGAATGCTCGAGAACTGTGTAAGATCTATATAAATGCTGGTTGTTGTGTTGTGCGACACGGACTTATCACATGACTGGATTTATGTACATCTGTCTACCATCGTCAGCATCGTCAAGACCGATCGTTCTTGCCTATTCGTCTACTGTCATTGTAAACAACCTTCAATCAGTATATCTGCTCTTACTGTAAAAGTCAAGACTCTGGTGAGTTAATATTTTAGATTTGTGACCCAATATTTTAGATTTGTGACCCAATATTTTAGATTTGTTACTCAATTGCATTGTACTAGAAATCTGTATTGTCATTCATTGTAGCTTGCTCATTGTTTGCTCAATATACACACATACACCCCCGGCAGCAATAGAGGCGGGCAATGTGCGACTTACAATAAGCAGGTCCATTTGCATGTGAGAAAAAATAAATCCTCAGAATTTCAAAGATTACCTATTCATTTCGTAATATGTTATTTTGGGATTACAAACCAAAATATTTTCAAGTTAAGTTGTATACATGTATATTTTGAGTTATGATCCGTGCAATATCAGTGTCTGGCAACTCGCGAAGTCACCTTGGAAATGTACGTTACCAGACTCTCTGACCTCTGAAAATACTCATTATCTATAGAAATAAATCAGAATCATATTGTAGTGCTTCAGTGGTTTTAATGCACTCACGGAAAGTCAATAAATGTAGAAAAAACACAAGGGTGAGGTAAGTAGTCAGCACAACATGAATACCTCACTCGAACATGGACAGAACAAAATATAGAACTTGATTATTCGAACTCCGAGGTTTAAAAACAAATAATGTCTCAATACTTAAAGACTTTTCGTGACCATCCGAGTATGGTGTTTGTTCCTATTTCGGATAAAAATAGATACAGTGGTAACACAATCTCTCATATAGGTCAATATTGAATAACAACTCAGAATAAATGTAACATACATTTTGTAAGTGCCAATGCTCTATCTATTGTGGTCTCCTACACGAGATGAATTGTTTGTCCTGTGACTAAAACACTTGTTTGTATTAGTGAGTAAGCAGACAACATAATTAACCTATGGATAGAAGCCTTTCCATTGAAACTGCCTTTTAAGTTACATGAAACGACCTACAGGGAAAGGAAAGAACAAGTAAACAAGTATTCTGTTAAACAACCCATCAATAAATTGCGGCAGTTCATGATTCACTTAACAGTCTAACACACAAATGAGGGATACATAAAACAAATAGAGAAATGCTCCTAGTTTGTGAAGTCAACAACTTAATCTGTTATATAACGTACATTTCAAATCCAGTTACTTTCCCCTGTTAATTTATTTTTGCCAAGTAAATACTATGGTAGCAATGAGGGGGCAACACAGGCTTGAAACCAACAGACAATTGTAAATTCCAACTTTAAAATGATAAAACAATGGGAACTAACAAGGTTTTCTGCCAAATACACGAGGTTTTCAGATGATAACGGACATTTCACTTGTAATTTTCAAACTTCTCTGCAACCAGGTTTAGGTCTCAATGACTCAGTTTGAACATACACTGTGACTTGCCACATGGTAGTGGTTCATGAACCTTGCACAAAACCTCTGTGCAACACTGTCTTCAGTTAGTGTCGTACAAACTGGTAACGTACGTTTCGGTCACGTACATTTCACATTGGATCAATTTATTCATTATCTCACCAGCTAACATCGACGAAACTTGTGATTCTGACAGTCCATGTAAGTTACATGAACATAATCAGCCTTACAAGATTGGTTAAATTATTCTTGAGAAGAAAACATCAGTAACGTACATTCCATTGTTATAATTACTCTCGGATTTGAATTTTTGTACACCGTATAACTGTATATAGCAGTTTTGAAATGATGTGAATTTGTGAATATCCTAAAAGAAATGACTGCCACCTTTATATCTGACAGACAAATGAGTCTGATAGATAGCTAATTTGGCTGTAAACGAATCGCAATGTGAGGGTAGCGGACATTGCTGCAAAGGTTGGGACATAGAAGAGCTGAAGTTTAACTTTGGAAGAAATTCATCAAGATTTAAAACAGTTGCTTGTATGTGAAGTGTACATGATGGTAATAAACGGAAACACTACAAGGAACTTTGAATGCAGCTACAGTAAGACCAGATCATAGTGAAGTTCGAGTACTTTCAGGCTGGGACAGTAACGTACATTTCATTTTCACATACTCAAAGCCTTATTTCAGAATGACTATTGTACTTGGGAAGCTGAATATTTTGGTTGAAGCTGCATAGATCAAACCCTTTATTTACCACACAACATCATGTAAAATAAGTTTATGTTTTTACATATGACAGTGAGACATCATTTGGACCTGCTTATGGGGTTTGAGTGTTGTGTGACATCCCCTACAAGTAACAGCGAGAACCGTCTGACATTACCAGCTGCTGAAGGCATGAGTTTATCTGTATGATTCTACCTCACATTTGCAAGTGGAAAGCTCCGGATCATAAATAACTGCTGTTTGCTACTTGCTTTTGGGAGTTGTGCATAGGCTCCTACCTGACACGACCACACGTGTAATTATCGACTGTCGGCTGGTGACTGGCGATGTTTCACAATCAGGTTTTGTCGTATCGAGTGTAGTCTCATCAGGAATCTGATAAACATGTCAAACAGGACAACTTATATACACGCTTCACACATAAATACAATGCCTGCTCAATGACAATCTTCATCCATGTGTTTCCCCATCTGCCGGCAGTTCTATGGACAGAAAGGGATGCACACGACTTGACCATCCCTAATCCTCCTCATCATCACTGTCTGCATCAGACGTTGAGGTGGAGGCGTTCTTGATGGAGGGCCTAGTTCCAACACATAACCATTTCTGGTGTCCCCGCCGTGATATTGCTGGAATATCGCTAAAAGCGGCGTAAAACCAAACTCATTCAGTCAGTCAGTCCAACACATAACAAACGTGTACACCAAGTTGTTGTCATTCGAGGTCAACACGAGGGTTCTTATCGTCATTAGTTTGCTGGTATATTCTGACCAATCAGGTAATAGCCGATGGGTGACATCCAAACATCTCTTGCAACAACCTCAGTGACATGCCAGCATTCCTCTTTGAATAATTGTCAAATGACGACCCACATTTGCTTCTTTACAGCGAAATCAATTTCCAAATTATTGAGCAGTAAGAATAGTTTACTGAAACGTGAAACCTTTCTTCGAAGTATGTGCATATCTAAAATTTAGAAAGGTAAAAATAATCACACAAACAAACATAATCATGACATGAATATAAATGCCTGTATGACATCATGGTTGTTGCGACACTTTGTCCATGTGTATACATCATATGTAAATACGCGTATGTAGGCAGATACACCGGGCTTGGTACACAGTACTAGGATCTGTACCCAATGTATGTTCTCGGATTGCCTTACACCGACCAGTGATCTGTTAAACACAATATTTTCGCTTTGAAGTCAAGACCAGTTTATTTATGATATGTGTTTCAAAATCAGCAAGACTGTAAGGGTATCAGATACAACGATTATAGCCTGAGATAATTCGTTCAATATTGATAGAGTTAAGTGGTTTGGTACAGTAATCTCGGTACAGCCCATGGTTTAATCTTCACACAGGCCCATGAGTCTATCCAGGAAGGAACACTCTCTCGTGAACCTGGCCAGCAGACACCCCCGCCTCCCACACTTGTCTGTGGAGCAGCACTTGGAGCCGGGGAGACAGTCGCTGTCCTGCTCACACCGGGGAACCATAAAGTCACAGAAGAAAGCAGGAAGGGGGAACGTCTTCGCACAATGACCGTTAAAGTTGCCGAATGGGTTGCTCGTCACAGGCGGTGTAGTGACAGGCCTGGGACCTGTGAAGGCAATATAGAATAATCAACGTCTTCTCCGATCAAAACATTGTATGTCGACTATGGTGATACCAAGCAGTGATACTTACGCGTGTACCTCCAAGGTGATTGTATGATAAATACATACAGGAGTGAATGTGTCTGATGTATACATACAGGTGTGAATGTGTCTGATGTATACATACAGGTGTGTATGTGTGTGTGTCTGATGTATACATACATGTGTGAATGTGTCTGATGTATACATACAGGGTGTGAATGTGTCTGATGTATACATACCAGGTGTGAATGTGTCTGATGTATACATACAGGTGTGAATGTGTCTGATGTATACATACCAGGTGTGTCTGATGTATACATACCAGGTGTGAATGTCTGATGTATACATACCAGGTGTGAATGTGTCTGATGTATACATACAGGTGTGTGTGTGTCTGATGTATACATACCAGGTGTGTGTGTGTGTCTGATGTATACATACCAGGTGTGAATGTGTCTGATGTATACATACCAGGTGTGAATGTGTCTGATGTATACATACAGGTGTGAATGTGTCTGATGTATACATGCAGGTGTGAATGTGTCTGATGTATACATACCAGGTGTGAATGTGTCTGATGTATACATACAGGTGTGAATGTGTCTGATGTATACGTACCAGGTGTGTGTGTGTCTGATGTATACATACCAGGTGTGAATGTGTCTGATGTATACATACAGGTGTGAATGTGTCTGATGTATACATACAGGTGTGTGTGTGTCTGATGTATACATACCAGGTGTGTGTGTGTCCTGATGTATACATACCAGGTGTGAATGTGTCTGATGTATACATACCAGGTGTGAATGTGTCTGATGTATACATACAGGTGTGAATGTGTCTGATGTATACATACAGGTGTGAATGTGTCTGATGTATACATGCAGGTGTGAATGTGTCTGATGTATACATACAGGTGTGTGTGTGTGTCTGATGTATACATACAGGTGTGAATGTGTCTGATGTATACATACAGGTGTGAATGTGTCTGATGTATACATACAGGTGTGAATGTGTCTGATGTATACATTCCAGGTGTGTGTGTGTGTGTGTCTCTGATGTATACATACCAGGTGTGAATGTGTCTGATGTATACATACAGGTGTGTGTGTGTCTGATGTATACATACAGGTGTGTGTGTGTGTCTGATGTATACATACCAGGTGTGAATGTGTCTGATGTATACATACCAGGTGTGAATGTGTCTGATGTATACATACAGGTGTGAATGTGTCTGATGTATACATGCAGGTGTGAATGGTGTATGTGTGTCTGTGAATGTCATGTGCATACATACCAGGTGTGAATGTGTCTGATGTATACATACAGGTGTGAATGTGTCTGATGTATACATACCAGGTGTGAATGTGTCTGATGTATACATACAGGTGTGAATGTGTCTGATGTATACATACCAGGTGTGAATGTGTCTGATGTATACATACAGGTGTGAATGTGTCTGATGTATACATACAGGTGTGAATGTGTCTGATGTATACATACAGGTGTGAATGTGTCTGATGTATACATACCAGGTGTGAATGTGTCTGATGTATACATACAGGTGTGAATGTGTCTGATGTATACATACAGGTGTGTGTCTGATGTATGTGTCTGATGTATACATACAGGTGTGAATGTGTCTGATGTATACATACCAGGTGTGTGTGTGTCTGTCTGATGTATATACATACATACAGGTGTGAATGTGTCTGATGTATACATACAGGTGTGAATGTGTCTGATGTATACATACAGGTGTGAATGTGTGTCTGATGTATACATACCAGGTGTGAATGTGTCTGATGTATACATACCAGGTGTGAATGTGTCTGATGTATACATACCAGGTGTGAATGTGTCTGATGTATACATACCAGTGTGAATGTGTCTGATGTATACATACAGGTGTGAATGTGTCTGATGTATACATACAGGTGTGAATGTGTGTCTGATGTATACATACCAGGTGTGTCTGATGTGCCATATGTGTGTCTGATGTATACATACAGGTGTGGTGTGAATGTCTGATGTATACATACCAGGTGTGAATGTGTCTGATGTATACATACAGGTGTGAATGTGTCTGATGTATACATAAGGTGTGAATGTGTCTGATGTATACATACAGGTGTGAATGTGTCTGATGTGTGTGAATGTGTCTGATGTATATACAGGTGTGTGTGTGTGTCTGATGTATACATACCAGGTGTGAATGTGTCTGATGTATACATACCAGGTGTGAATGTGTCTGATGTATACATACAGGTGTGAATGTGTCTGATGTATACATACCAGGTGTGAATGTGTCTGATGTATACATACAGGTGTGAATGTGTCTGATGTATACATATACCAGGTGTGTCTGTGTACATCTGATGTATACATACCAGATGTGTGTATGTGTCTGATGTATACATACAGGTGTGTGTGTCTGATGTATACATACCAGGTGTGAATGTGTCTGATGTATACATACCAGGTGTGAATGTGTCTGATGTATACATACAGGTGTGAATGTGTCTGATGTATACATACAGGTGTGAATGTGTCTGATGTATACATACAGGTGTGAATGTGTCTGATGTACATGTCTGATGTATACATGCAGGTACAATGTGTCTGATGTGTATGTGTCTGATGTATACATACCAGGTGTGTGTGTGTGTCTGATGTATACATACCAGGTGTGAATGTGTCTGATGTATACATACAGGTGTGAATGTGTCTGATGTATACATACCAGGTGTGTGTGTGTCTGATGTATACATACCAGGTGTGAATGTGTCTGATGTATACATACAGGTGTGAATGTGTCTGATGTATACATACAGGTGTGAATGTGTCTGATGTATACATACAGGTGTGTGAATGTGTCTGATGTATACATACAGGTGTGTAATGTGTCTGATGTATACATACCAGGTGTGAATGTGTCTGATGTATACATACCAGGTGTGTATACATACAGGTGTGAATGTGTCTGATGTATACATACCAGGTGTGAATGTGTCTGATGTATACATACAGGTGTGAATGTGTCTGATGTATACATACCAGGTGTGTGTGTGTCTGATGTATACATACAGGTGTGAATGTGTCTGATGTATACATACCAGGTGAATGTGTCCTGATGATACATACCAGTGTGTGTGTGTGGTATTGTGTCTGATGTATACATACCAGGTGTGAATGTGTCTGATGTATACATACCAGGTGTGAATGTGTCTGATCACACAGGTGGACCTGACACACAGGAACACACAGGAACTGACACATGTGGAATGTCTGACACAGAAACCTGATGGACAGCATGGACACACATGGAATCAAACCTGGAGACACCAGGAATGGACACAGGAACTGGATGTATACATGCAGGTGGAATGGAAACTGATCCCAGACACAGGAACTGACACACAGGTGGAATCAGACCTGACAGCCACACACAAACCTGACACACACACATGTGGACACATGGACAACCCATGGACACACAACTTGAGACAGACATGGACAAGACCCCAGGAACACACATGTGGAATCAGATGGACACACAGGACACATGGACACACACCTGACACACAAGGAATGGACACATGGACACAACTGGATGGACACACCCAGGTGGAATGAAACCTGACACACAAGGACACACACACACACACAACCTGACACCCCACACACACACAACCCGACACACACAGTGGAATGGCCAGACACAACTGATGGACACACACTGGACACACACAGTGGACACAACCTGACACACACCCAGGTGGATCAGGAAACCTGACACACAGGTGTGGACACACACCCAGATGGACACACACCTGACGGACAAGACAAGGACAAATGGATGGACAAGGAATGTAACTGGATGGACACATGTGGAAACGGATGGAACAGGAAATGGACAGAATACATGAATACACAGGTGGAATGGATGTATATAGTGGAATGGAACGGATGGGGACATAACGATAAATAAGGACAATATAAACGGATGGAGGAAAAATAAACATGGACAGAAAATGTATATGTGGAATGTTCTGGATGGGGAATGAATATATATGAATAAACTGAGGAGGTTCTGACAGCATGTGAATGGACTTAGACAAAATGAAAGAAAATGTATATAGGAATGGATAAATGGAATGGATATGGAATGGAAACTTGATGGGGAAGGCATGGTGGAATAAAGATGTATAAATGGATGGAGGCATACAGGTGGAAGGAAACATGGGGAAATAAATGAGTCTGGATGTATAGGAAAGATGTGGATGGGGGCATGAACGGTCCGACTGCACACACACATGCTAAACGTCCGACGTGACACACACACACACACAACCAGGTGCATTATCTTACACAACGTGAACGTGTCCTGGATGCATACACACAGGCGTGAATGTGTCCGAAGACACACACAGGCGTGGAATGTGTCCCAATGGCCACACGCAGGTGAATGTGGTCCGATGCATACTGCAACCAGGTGTGTGTGGTCCTGACACACACACCAGGGTGAATGTGTCCGATGTCTACACACAAAAATGTCCGATGTACACACACCAAGGTGGTGTGGCCTGACGTGACACACAACCAAGTCTAGTGCTGTCCTGATCACACACACCCAGGCGTGGGCGTCCGATCTTACACACAGGAGGGTGTGTCCCATGTCCCACAACCCATGAACGTCCTTGATGCATACACACAGGTGGCATGTCTGATGCATACACACACGCAAGTGAATGTGTCTGACACACACAGGGTGGAATGTGTCTGATGCATCACACATGGAATGTGTCCTGATGGCTCACACACAGATGTCCGATGTGGACATAACAGGTGTGGAGGTCCCATGGCCACACAACCAGTGAAATGGTCTGATCACACAACCAGGTGGAATGTGGATGGAATCAGGTCCCGGAGACACACCCACACATGGAGGGACCTGGACACACACACACACACACAGGTGGACACACCAGGACAGAGAATATGGACTGGACACAGACACACAAACGACACACGTGGAACCCACACACACATGGAAACCCAAGGACACACACTGAACCCGAGAACCTGAGACACCAGACAGAAACACATGGAATGGACAACTGACACAGAAACTGAAATGGAACATGGACACACAGATGAACTGGACACACACACACAGACCCATGTGGACAAACACAACAGACGTGGAAGCCCTGATGGGACACACACCTGATGGAAACCCAGGACAAGACACCTGACACACACATGGAAACCCATGGACACAGGTATACACAACCCCAGGTGGAGACATAATATCAGGAAACATGGACACATACATGGAATGAGAACACATGGATGGAGACACAGGAAAACTGATGGACACACAGATGGACCCACACACAGGAAACCTGACAGAACGGGACACACACAGGAATGGACACATGGAACTTGACACACATGGACACACAGGAACCGGACACACACACACACCTGGACACACACACAGGAACACAGGATGGACAAGGCACCCCAGGTGGACACATACACACACCGAGACACAGACAAACGGACACACACAACCCGAACTTGACAGACACAGACACACAGAGACACAGGAACAGGACAGGACCAGACACACACAGACGTGGACACAGGACAGACACATGGACAGACACACCACACACAGACACAGACACATGTGGAACAAGGACACACACACAGGAAACGGACACAGTATACATGTGAATGTGTCTGACAGGTGTGAATGTGTCTGATGTATACATACAGGTGTGAATGTGTCTGATGTATACATACCAGGTGTGAATGTGTCTGATGTATACATACAGGTGTGAATGTGTCTGATGTATACATACAGGTGTGAATGTGTCTGATGTATACATACAGGTGTGTGTGTCTGAGGTAGACATACAAGGAATGTGAATACAGTGTCTGTCTGATGTATACATACAGGTGTGTGTGTCTGAGGTAGACATACATGTTCTTTTTGTGTCAGATGTATACATACCAAGTGTGTGTGTGTCTGATGTATACATATAGATGTGTGTGTGTCTGATGTATACATACAGGTGTGAATGTGTCTGATGTATTCATACCACTAACTGACTGAGTTTAGTTTTAAGCCGCTTTTAGCAATATTCCAGCAATATCACGTTGGGGGACACCAGAAATGGGCTTCACACATTGTGCACATGTGGGGAAAACGAAACCGGGTCTTCGGCGTGACGAGCCAACGCTTTAACCACTAGGCTACCCCAACGCCCTGTATACATACCAGGTGTGGGCGTTTCTGATGTATACATACCAGGTGTGAGTGTGTCTGATGTATACATACCAGGTGTGGGTGTGTCTGATGTATACATAGAAGTGTGAATGTGTCTGATGTATACATGCAGGTGTGAATGTGTCTGATGTATACGTACCAGGTGTGTGTGTGTGTGTCTGATGTATACATAAAAGGTGTTAATGTGTCTGATGTATACATACAGGTGTGAATGTGTCTGATGTATACATACAGGTGTGAATGTGTCTGATGTATACATACAGGTGTGTGTGTGTCTGATGTATACATACCAGGTGTGTGTGTGTGTGTGTGTATGATGTTTATATAACAGGTGTGAATGTGTCTGATGTATACATACAGGTGTGAATGTGTCTGAAGTATACATACAGGTGTGAATGTGTCTAATGTATACATGCAGGTGTGAATGTGTCTGATGTATACATACCAGGTGTGAATGTGTCTAATGTATACATACAGGTGTGTGTGTCTGATGTATACATACCAGGCGTGTGGGTGTCTGATGTATACATACAGAAGTGAGTGTGTCTGATGTATATATACCAGATGTGAATGTGTCTGATGTATACATACAGGTGGGTATGTCTGATGTATACATACATGTGTGAATGTGTCTGATGTATACATACAGGTGTGAATGTGTCTGATGTATACATACTGATGGGTATGTCTGATGTATACATAACAGGTGTGTGTGTGTCTGATGTGTACATACCAGGTGTGTGTGTGTCTGATGTATACATATAGATGTGTGTGTGTGTCTGATGTATACATACAGGTGTGAATGTGTCTGATGTATTCATACCACTAACTGACTGAGTTTAGTTTTAAGCCGCTTTTAGCAATATTCCAGCAATATCACGTTGGGGGACACCAGAAATGGGCTTCACACATTGTGCACATGTGGGGAAAACGAAACCGGGTCTTCGGCGTGACGAGCCAACGCTTTAACCACTAGGCTACCCCAACGCCCTGTATACATACCAGGTGTGGGCGTTTCTGATGTATACATACCAGGTGTGAGTGTGTCTGATGTATACATACCAGTGGTGGGTGAGTCTGATGTATACATACCAGGTGTGAGTGTGTCTGATGTATACATACCAGGTGTGGGTGTGTCTGATGTATACATAGAAGTGTGAATGTGTACCTACAGTGGTTGGTGTGAGGGAGAGGTGGGTGTGAGGGAGCGTGTACCTACCAGTGGTGGGAGTGAGGAGGGGTGTGTGTACCTGGTGTACCTAGTGGTGGGTGTGAGGGAGGGTGTGAGTGGTGGGTGTACCTACCAGTGGTGGGTGTGAGGGAGGGTGTACCTACCAGTGGTGGGTGGTGGGTGTGAGAGGGAGTTGTACCTACCAGTGGTGGGTGTGAGAGGAGGACCCACCAGTGGTGGGTGTGAGGGGAGAGTGTACCCACCAGTGGTGGGTGTGGAGGGAGAGTGTACCTACCAGTGGTGGGTGTGAGGGAGCTTACCTACCAGTGGTGGGTGTGTACCTACGAGGGAACGTGTACCTACCAGTGGTGGGTGTGAGGGAGCGTGTGTGGTGGGTGTGGAGGGAGTGGTGGGGTGTGAGAGAGTTTACCTACCAGTGGTGGTGGCTGTGAGTGGGTGTGAGTGTACCTACCAGTGGTGGGTGTGAGGGAACGTGTGTGTACCTTCCAGTGGTGGCTGTGATGGAGTGTGGCTGTGATGGAGTGTGTACCTACCAGTGGTGGGTGTGACGGAGTGTGTACCTACCAAGAAATGGGTTCCAGCAGCAGAGGGACTGGATGTCTTGTATTTCGGTGCTGCACTCGGTGGTGTCAGGGCAAAGTTTCTGATCGTTACAGTACGGGGTGTTGTACGTCTGTCCACCTGTCTGCTCCAGCACTGGGCTGCCGTACCGACAGGCTCCGACAAGTCCCTGGCCACTTGCTGAAACAGACCCCAGGAGGAAACATGGGAAGACCTTCCCGCTATGTGACAAACACACCAGGTCATCATCACTTATCTCACAGCATGTATTGCATATTCTTTTATCAACGTTACCTTCGTACACAATGAACTTTTACAAGAGGTAGCCCAAGTTATTCTGTTTCGCTGGAGCTTCCATGTAAACTTCCTGTCTATGCAGACTTGAGTTTTATGGCTAGGACTCATACTGAAACAACACGGACTTATTCTCTGAAGTTCCAAGGTAACATTTATTTAACCTCTACTGACATCAGAAAACGCAAATTTATTCTACATTCGCTCATTTTATCACTCACTAATTTTATCACTCACTCACTCATTTTATCATTCATTTTATCACTCACAGACTCACTCACGCATTTTGTCACTCATTTTATCACTCATTTTATCACTCATTTTATCACTCATTTTATCACTCATTTTATCACTCACTCATTCACACACTCACTCATCTTATCACTCACTCATTTTATCACTTTGTATCACTCACTCACTCATTTTATCACTCACTCACTCACTCACTCACTCTATATGTATATCTGTCACTCACGGACACACTCTGGTTGTGGTGGGCACGGGCTGTCAGGTGCGCAGGACACGACGACAAGGCGACACTCATAGCCTGGCGTCTCACAGACCTGGATACAGACAGATAGTATTGCGAAACATCATACGTCGCCATAACAAACCTATAATCGTCACTATTTGTTCCTACTGTGTACAAAACAGACGAGCATGTGACAGGTGAAGCATATGTTGTCAGCCCATTCAAATGATGATAAAAGAATCGTGCACAGGTTCACCGAATAGCTTCAAACTTTGGGGAAAGTCTTTATCCCCACTGTAACGGGGCTGAACGTTTTATTGACTGATGGTGAAATGCGTGCAGAACGCATCCCAGTGTAGCCATTTTACACATCAGGTGAGTCACATGAAATGTAAGAGGAAGATCAGTGTAATATTGTTGATATCACAGCAATGCCTGCTGTACAAGTAGCCCGACTTTAACAAGCATGTAATAAACGCGGTCATAACTTGCTCGTAGTTCAGTAATCATCTCGGGATTAATTTGAAAATATAATTGCTACTTTAAAGATCAATCGCAAGTTTATATATTTGACTGCTACTCGCTAAATGGTGTGCGTGCGTGTATGTGTATGTGTGTGTGTGTGTGTGTGTGTGTGTGTGTGTTGAGTGAGTGAGTGAGTGAGTGAGTATGTGTGTGTGAGTGTGAGTGTGGTGTTGACCGCAGATGACCACGTGTAACCCAGCAGTGGCCCCTGAGCGGCCTCACTCACATGTCCAGTGCAGGGATCCGACGTCTGCGTCAATACTGAGCTGACCATGCAAGCCTGAAAGTAAAGAAAACGTCGTGTTAGGTATGTCAGGTGTTGGTCGACGTATGGACATGCAGTATATACAGACACACGCACGTCTAACCTAAAACATACAGCAAGCATGTCGACCTACACACACGTGTAACCTAAAACATACAGCAACCACGTCGACCTACACACACATGTAACCTCAAACATACAGGCACGTCGACCTACACACACGTGTAACCTAAAACATACAACAAGCATGTCGACCTACACACACGTGTAACCTAAAACATACAGCAACCACGTCGACCTACACACACGTGTAACCTAAAACATACAGGCACGTCGACCTACACACACGTGTAACCTGAAACATACAACAAACATCTCGACCTACACACACGTGTAACCTAAAACATACAGGCACGTCGACCTACACACACGTGTAACCTGAAACATACAACAAGCATCTCGACCAATACAGACGTGTAACCTAAAACATACAGGCACGTCGACCTACACACACGTGTAACCTAAAACATACAGGCACGTCGACCTACACACACGTGTAACCTGAAACATACAACAAGCATCTCGACCAATACACACGTGTAACCTAAAACATACAGGCACGTCGACCTACACACACGTGTAACCTGAAACATACAACAAGCATCTCGACCTACACACACGTGTAACCTAAAACATACAGGCACGTCGACCTACACACACGTGTAACCTAAAACATACAACAAGCATGTCGACCTACACACACGCGTAACCTAAGACATGCAATAAGCATGTCGACCTACACACACGTGTAACCTGTAACACGCAACAAGCACGTAGACCTACACACACGTGTAACCTAAAACATGCAACAAGCATGTCGACCTACACCGACGTGTAACCTGTAACACGCAACAACCACGTCGACCAAAACACACGTGTAACCTAAAACATACAGGCATCGTCGACCTACACCCACACGTGTAACCTAAAACATACAGGCACGCCGACCTACACACACACGTGTAACCTGAAACATACAACAAGCATCTCGACCAATACACACGTGTAACCTAAAACATACAGGCACGTCGACCTACACACACGTGTAACCTAAAACATACAACAAGCATGTCGACCTACACACACGTGTAACCTGTAACACGCAACAAGCACGTAGACCTACACACACGTGTAACCTAAAACATACAGGCACGTCGACCTACACACACGTGTAACCTGAAACATACAACAAGCTTGTCGACCTGACACAAAAAAGTTCTTATTTCTGGAAAATCTGTCGTTACTCATTGTAGATGCATACCGTATTTATTTGTTATTCTATTGTCATGAATGTACGTGGGGAATATCTGTACACAACCTCCAATAAACCATCTAATTACATGGCATCTCAAATGGGTAACAGTTGAAAACAAACATCTGTATATAAATATTGATGATTCATTAAGATATTTCAGGTGAGTGAATATTGCCTCACTCTGTCGTGCTATTCAAAACAGAATGTCGTTTCAATATATTGCTGATACATTAAGCTAACATAAATGTCAAGTGAACTTTAACTCCGAAACCCCTTTCCACACACCACACACATCCTACACGTCTTTATCAAAGTGAGATACTCACGAAGATACAAGCTCTCAAGAACGTCATATTCGCAATGAGACATCCACTGGTTTGTTGAAACCTTCGACGTGTTCATGTAGGGCCCCAGTAACACCACACACGGTGTGCCTGGTAGGGGCGGAGACTGCGCCCTGACGCTGGATGATCAGCCAGGGTATGTACGGAATGGGTTGTGTGTTGACTTAGTTGGGCTGGTCGGGAGCATGTGAAAGAACTGTACACTTAAAAGTCACTCGAATTTCAACCTTTACCTCAGACCCCCCACCCATCCCTCCACCCAGCCTCCGTGTTAACAGTGGTGGAGACCTGGGGCACCTGTACCGAATATTTCGCTGTGTGTCCCTCACACACTCAAACATCTAAGATATATCATTTCAAGTTTATTTGTATGTAAACATATTAGTGCCACATACAGAAGGACCAGACTGGGTGCTGTATCAGAGGTCAGATACAAAAGAAGTGACACTCCAAACTGGGTATAAATAACGTACAAATTAACTATCGGTTGCACGTATTTAGGTTGTCTGTCCAGATTGGAATAAGTCATTTATGACGATGTTGTATTGGCCACAGAAGGTATAGACAAGGGTATGTGTTGAAAGGTGAGAGCCTTCCATTCTCATCACGTCCCATCTCCGAAACAACAACGTTCATGGCCTGCTTCCCAAGGCTGAATCACAACCGATAAACATACTCAGAAGCATGACATTTTTTAGCCACTGCAGTCCCCATAGAGGACGTCCACCAGTAACGACCCCACGCACCTGCAACAAAGGTTCCAGCCAGCAACCCTTACAGTCCATACCATACCTGGCAACAGAGGTGTTCCTGCGAGAACAGTTCAACGACGTTTAAGCATCACTGCAAGACGTCCCAGTCCTTCGACTAATTCTGACGCCAGACCATCGACATGGAAGTCTCCAGAGGAGCAGACAACACTTGTACGTGAGTGGAGAAGAGTTCTCAGCGCCGATGAGTCGGTGAGTCCCTTGTCATTGTTCAGGGAGCTGACTGCTGGACGTGTGTCTACAGGCCTACAAATGACGTTACATCACGTCGTACACGACCTTGTCCGAATCCTCCAACAACGCTGCAGGAACTCCGTCATCTCCTACCTCAGATATGTTAATAGTTACCATATTCTTGCTTGGGTCAGTGCTGGTAACAGAGGTCCCCACGGTCCCTTGTGAGATTTTCTGCTTCCAAGTTAGTAGCTGTATACCCGTTTCCATAGTAAGGTGTGACCGAGTGAACCAAGCAAAGGAGGGTGTGACTGTGAGTATCTACCAGGAAAGGGTGTGACTGTGAGTATCTAACAGGAAAGGGTGTGACTGTGAGTATCTAGCAGGAAAGTGTGTGACTGTGAGTATCTACCAGGAAAGGGTGTGACTGTGAGTATCTACCAGGAAAGGGTGTGACTGTGAGTATCTACCAGGAAAGGGTGTGACTGTGAGTATCTACCAGGAAAGGGTGTGACTGTGAGTATCTACCAGGAAAGGGTGTGACTGTGAGTATCTACCAGTGACTGAAAGTACCAGTGTGACTGTGAGTATCTACCAGGAAAGGGTGTGACTGTGAGTATCTACCAGGAAAGGTGAGTATCTGTGTGAGTGAGTATCTACCAGACTGTGAGTATCTACCAGGAAAAGGGTGTGACTGTTGAGTATCTAGCAAAGGGTGTGGTCTGTGAGGGAGGGTGTGAGTATCTACTGTGAGTGAGTATCTACCAGGAAAGGGTGTGACTGTGGAAAGGTATCTACCAGGAGGAAGGGTGTGTGAGTATGTGAGCATCTACCAGGAAAGGGGTGTGACTGTGAGTATCTACCAGGAAAGGGTGTGACTATGAGTATCTACCAGGAACTGTGAGGGTGTGACTAGGATGAGTATCTACCAGGAAATCTACCAGGAAAGGGTGTGACTGTGAGTATCTTCCAGGAAAGGGTGTTACTAGGAGTATCTACCAGGAAAGGGTGTGACTGTGAGTATCTACCAGGAAAGGGTGTGACTGTGAGTATCTACCAGGAAAGGGTGTGACTGTGAGTATCTACCAGGAAAGGGTGTGACTGTGAGTATCTGCCAGGAAAGGGTGTGACTGTGAGTATCTAGCAGGAAAGGGTGTGAATGTGAGTATCTTCCAGGAAAGGGTGTTACTAGGAGTATCTACCAGGAAAGGGTGTGACTGTGAGTATCTACCAGGAAAGGGTGTGACTGTGAGTATCTACCAGGAAAGGGTGTGACTGTGAGTATCTACCAGGAAAGGGTGTGACTGTGGATATCTACCAATCAATGGTTTATAGCAACACATGTTCTGGTGGTCCAGCTGTACGATGTTGCACTCAGTGTCCTCAGGGGTACCACGTGTAACAATGGGAGGTGGAGTAAGTTACACTCTAGTCAACACTGGGCTGCCGAACCTGCTGGCCGTCGTCCTACACACTCCTGAGACACAGCGGCAAGTTGTCGACCTACACACGTGTGTCGCCAAGTTGGAGTTGTTGTGAAAGCTGTTGTATTTCCAGACATCCCTTCTCCACGATTATATACCGGAAATTGCACGGATACGTCCATATTGCCTCGTGGGAAGCGAATGTTTGGTACTTCAGTCTCCTCTCCCCCAAGTGAATGGTACCTCCTTTTCCTCTCCTCCAGTTTATGGTACCTCCCTTTCCTCTGCCCCAGTGTATGGTACCGCCCTTTCCTCTCCCCCAGTGTATGGTACCTCCCTACTCTCTCCTCCAGTGTATGGTACCTCCCTTTCCTCTTCCCCAGTGTATGGTACAGCCCTTTCCACCACCCCACTGTATGGTACCTCCATTTCCTCTCCTCCAGTGTATGGTACCTCACAATCCTCTCCCCCAGTGTATGTTACCGCCCTTTCCTCTCCCCCAGTGTATGGTACAGCCCTTTCCTCTCCCCAGTGTATGGTACCTCCCTCTCCCCTCCCCCAGTGTATGGTACCGCCCTTTCCTCTCCCCCAGTGTATGGTACCGCCCTTTCCTCTCCCCCAGTGTATGGTACCTCCCTTTCCTCTCCCCCAGTGTATGGTACCGCCCTTTCCTCTCCCCCAGTGTATGGTACCGCCCTTTCCTCTCCCCAGTGTATGGTACCGCCCTTTCCTCTCCCCCAGTGTATGGTACAGCCCTTTCCTCTCCCCAGTGTATGGTACCTCCCTATCCTCTCTCCTCCAGTGTATGGTACCCTCACAATCCTCTCCCCAGTGTATGGTACCTCCCTCTCCTCTCCCCCAGTGTATGTTACTGCCCTTTCCTCTCACCCAGTGTATGGTACCTCCCTCTCCTCTCTTCCCCATTGTATGGCACTTTCCTCTCCCTCTCTCCCCCAGTGTATGGTACCGCCCTTTCCTCTCCCCCAGTTTATTGTACCTCTCTACCCTCTCCTCCAGTGTATGGTACCTCCATTTCCTCTACCCCAGTGTATGGTACCGCTCTTTCCTCTCATTCAGTTTAAGGTACTTCCATTTCCTCTACCCCAGTGTATGGTACCGCTCTTTCCTCTCATTCAGTTTATGGTACTTCCCTTTCCTCTCTCCCCAGTGTATGGTATCGCCCTTTCCCCCCCCAGTGTATGGGAGAGATTTGGAGGTACTGATACACTGGGGAGAGGGCTTGAGGAGGAGTACCATACACTGGGGAGAGGGATACACTGGGGAGGTACCTCACCTGAGGGAGAGGAGGTAGGTCCATACACTGGGGGAGAGGAGAGGAAATACCACACTGGGGTGAGAGGAGGTTAGTGTACATCAGTGCTTCCCTCTTTCCTCTCCCCCCAGTGTATGGCACCTACAATCCACTGCTGAAGAGAATGGTGCTCTCCTCTCCTCTCCTCTACATCTGTATGCTTCCCTTTCCTCTCCAGCAGTGTATGGTGCCTCCCTTTCCTCTCTCCCCAGTGTATGGTGGTCCCTCTCCTCTCCCCCCAGTGTATGGTACCTCCCTCTCCTCTCTCCCCAGTGTATGGTACCTCCCTTTCCTCTCTCCCCCAGTGTATGGTACCTCCCTCTCTCCTCTCTCCCCCAGTGTATGGTACTTTCCTCTCCTCTCCCCCAGTGTATGGTGCCTCCCTCTCCTCTCCCCAGTGTATGGTGCTTTCCCTTTCCTCTCCCCCCAGTGTATGGTACTTCTCTCTCCTCTCCCCAGTGTATGGTACTTTCCCTCTCCTCCTCCCCCCATTGTATGGTACCTCTCCTCTCCTCTCCCCCAGTGTATGGTACTTTCCTCTCCTCTCCCCCAGTGTATGGTACTTTCCTCTCCTCTCCCCCAGTGTATGGTACTTTCCTCTCCTCTCCCCAGTGTATGGTACTTTCCTCTCCTCTCCTCTCCCCCAGTGTATGGTACTTCCCTCTCCTCTCCCCCAGTGTATGGTACTTTCCTCTTCTCTCCCCCAGTGTATGGTACTTTCCTCTCTTCTCCCCCAGTGTATGGTACCTCCCTCTCCCCAGTGTCTCCCCAGTGTATGGTACTCTCCCTCTTCCTCTCTCCCCCCAGTGTATGGTACCTTCCCTCTCCTCTCCCCCAGTGTATGGTACTTTCCTCTCCTCTCCCCCCAGTGTATGGTACCTCCCTCCTCTCTCCCCCAGTGTATGGTACTTTTCCTCTCCTCTCTCCCCAGTGTATGGTACTTCCCCTCTCCTCTCCCCCAGTGTATGGTACTTTTCCTCTCCTCTCCCCCAGTGTATGGTGCTTTCCTCTGTGTGTACTCTCTCCCCCAGTGTATGGTACTCCTCCTCCCCCAGTGTATGGTACTTCCTCCTCCTCTCCCCAGTGTATGGTACTTCCCTCTCCTCTCCCCAGTGTGTGGTACTTTTCCTCCTCTCCCCCCAGTGTGTGGTGGCTCCTCTCCTCTCCCCCAGTGTGTCCCCTCTCCCCTCTCCCCAGTGTGGTACTTTCCTCTCTCTCTCCCCCAGTGTATGGTACCTTTCCTCTCCTCTCCCCCAGTGTATGGTACTTTCCTCTCCTCTGTATGGTACTCCCTCTTCCTCTCCCCCAGTGTATGGTACCTCCCCTCCTCTCCCCCAGTGTATGGTGCTTTCCTCCCTCCTCTCCCCAGTGTATGGTACTTTCCTCTCCTCTCCCCCAGTGTATGGTACTTCCCTCTCTTCTCCCCCAGTGTATGGTACTTTCCTCTCCTCTCCCCCAGTGTATGGTACCTCCTCTCCTCTCCCCCAGTGTATGGTACTTTCCTCTCCTCTCTCCCCCAGTGTATGGTACTTTCCTCTCCTCCCCCAGTGTATGGTACTTCCCCTCTCTCTCTCCCCCAGTGTATGGTACTTCCCTCTCCTCTCTCCTCTCCTCTCCCCAGTGTATGGTACTTTCCTCCCCTCTCCCCAGTGTATGGTACCTCTCCTCTCCTCCCTCCTCCTCTCCCCAGTGTATGGTGCTTTCCTCTCCTCTCCCCCAGTGTATGGTACTTTCCTCTCCTCTCCCCCAGTGTATGGTACTTTCCTCTCCTCTCCCCCAGTGTATGGTACTTTCCTCTTCTCCCCCAGTGTATGGTACTTTCCTCTCCTCTCCCCCAGTGTATGGTACTTTCCTCTCCTCTCCCCAGTGTATGGTACTTTCCTCTCTCCTCTCCCCAGTGTATGGTACTTTCCTCTCCTCTCCCCCAGTGTATGGTACTTTCCTCCTCTCCTCTCCCCAGTGTATGGTACTTCCCTCTCTCTCCCCCAGTGTATGGTACTTTCCTCTCCTCTCCCCAGTGTATGGTACTTTCCTCTCTCTCTCCCCAGTGTATGGTGCTTTTTCCTCTCTCCCTCCTCCCTCTCCCCAGTGTATGGTACTTTCCTCTCCTCTCCCCCAGTGTATGGTACTTTTCCTCTCTCCTCCCCCAGTGTATGGTACTTCCCTCTCCTCCCCCCAGTGTATGGTACTTTTCCTCTCTCTCTCCCCAGTGTATGGTACTTCCCTCTCCTCTCCCCAGTGTATGTATGGTATTTTCCTCTCTCTCTCCCCAGTGTATGGTATTTTCCTCTTCTCCCCAGTGTATGGTACTTTCCTCTCCTCTCCCCCCAGTGTATGGTGCTTTTCTCTCCTCTCCCCCAGTATGGTGCCTCCCTCTCTCTCCCCCAGTGTATGGTATTTTCCTCTCTCCTTCTCCCCAGTGTATGGTGTTTCCTCCCCTCTCCTCTCCTCTCCCCCAGTGTATGGTACTTTCCTCTTCTCTCCCCCAGTGTATGGTACTTTCCTCTCCTCTCCTCTCCCCAGTGGATGGTACTTTCCTCTCCTCTCCCCCAGTGTATGGTATTTTCCTCTCTTCTCCCCCAGTGTATGGTACTTCCCTCTCCTTCCCCCCTCTTCAATCACCTCATTACATGTCATATAGTTAACAAGGAATATCGGCATGAAAATACTGATGATTCATGGAAAATATTTCAGGTGGATAATTGAAAATTGCCTAACGTCGCAACCCAAGTTATTCAGCTATTGTGGCAATTCATCGTCAGTTCAAGATCTATCATTGACACGCCCATCTAGACGGGAGTTACTCACCAGGATCCAAGGTTCAAGAACTGTGTATGCGCAATGAGACTTCCACGGGTTTGTTTGAGACGTGTGACGTGTTAGTGCTAGTGTAAACGGTCAGTAGAAGACCCGGACAGTGTGATTAGTCGGTTTTTGTCACTCACGGAAATGGGCTATGTGGGTTGTTTTGGTCGGGTCAGGCTTTAGCAAACCTTGACCTTTGAGTGAACACGAAACTTATATGTCACCCGAACTTCTACAAACACTCACCTTTACTGCGGACTCCCTTCAACAGTATTTGCTGTCAGAACACGTGGCTACCATAGCCAAGAGTTTTTCTACATAATACTTTCCACTGTCGTTCCTGGGATCGTACATACATTTATTGTAAACACGTTTCCGGACGGCAGTCTTTACTGGGATGATGGCTTGTGTTTAATGTAAACTTGTCTTTTAGAATTTAGTGAGATGTTTAACAGTTGTTCATATAATTACGACAAGACAACAATTATTTCTTAAGCCTCCGAGAAAATCCACATTTCAAGGATACTATCGACAAGGTATCTGGTGGAATGGTAGTGTATGTTGAAGAACGATGGATGTCTGCAAACATGAGTCGGGCTAGTAGATCAGTATCTGGTCTGTCCGCCATGTTGAGCTGGGCATGCACGACACCTTGAAGGCATCTATCGCCATTCCACAGGAAGAACTACCCTAAAGGTGCGTTCACACGTTGCAACTAGTTGTATAAAACTTGTGGCATGCAACAAATTTCACAGTGTGAACAGGGGAGTTGGACAGATTTTTGTTGCATGCAACAAGTTGCAAGCGAGTTGCAAGGAATAGAACTTGCTCTATTTCCATGCGACAAGTTGTACGGTTCTGGCCAATCAGATCGCGTTTCGTAGTCACGTGATATTTACGCAGACATCAAACATGGCGATACCACAACAACGGAAGACACAACAACGCCAGAAAAATGTTAAAGAAAAATTGACCTCAGCAACCATGACATTGAAAGGTTTATTTCATACTACCATTCCCACGAGTGTCTTTGGAATGTGTGTAGTTCGTTTTATTCAAAACGTGAACACAGACAGGCCGCCTACGTTTCCATTTCCGAACTGATGAACGGTGTTATGACAGGTGAGTGACAGAAATATATTCGACGTGCTTCTATTTGATAAACTAATCTTACTTCTTTGCTTAACAAATTTAGTATGACTTTACCTAAATTTGGTCATGAAGCATCGCCCACATTATCATCGATGGCGAACCAGAGTCACGATCCATAATCTCGATCATTCATCTGAAAGTGAAGTTCAAAACAACCAAAACACAAACATTGAACCACAGCCTGCTATCAGTACAAATTTAGGCAATTTAGAAGCATTGTTGATGTTTTTTTGGTAAATAAAACATATGTACAATATGAAAAGATCCATTTATAAAGGTTTCATTTTATTATAATAACGCAACATTTTACCGAAAACATTGACCGAGTATCTGTCAGTTTACGTGGTTCTCGCAGAATGACCTATATTTGGTGAGGCTTTCAACCGGGGCTAATTAGTTGGTCTTGAATATTTACATTAAATGTTTATTCTAAATTTATTTCTTGTTCATGTTTAATCATGTTAAGTAAATTGGTTTTAAATATGAACATAAGATAACTGGATATTCTTCTGACTGTTTTTCAACCAATGATGACGTTTAAGCCTATAAATTTTCTATAAAAGACGTTTTCCTATTAAACTTAACTATTTTTGAGTATTAACATGATGTATAGCTCCCACCCCCAAAAAACACACAGACAAATCTGAATTTTAATCAACGATAAAAGTGCCTCTGAATCTTTTGGGCAAAAAGTGCTATATATGTATTATTATTATTTTAAAGTTTAACATTTTAGTGATATTTTTATCAGTAGTAGTTGAGCATTACAGCAATATTCATTGGAACATCTACAGTATTTTACATTATCATGATTATTGGAGATCTGTCAGCATGGTCAGGGTAAAAAGTGAAAATATGCATATTTTTGAGGTTACACAAATGTTTGCATTAAAGTATACATTTATCATGATTATATGTCAAATGAAAACATTTTAATTTCATTTTTTTCATTATAGCGGATCAGATCCCAGTTAAGATTTCTGCTCTGCGGACCTACTATTGCAAGGAACTAAGGAAGGAAACCCTCTCCCGGAAAAGTGGGGCTGGTCGAGATGATATCTATGAGTCTACCTGGGAATGGTTTAAGCTGTTGGATCCTTTTCTTAGAAGCCAGGTTCATTAAAAAACAACTATAAGTAACTTGGTTAGTATTGTAAGAATGTAAACTTTTAATAAACCATGTACATCCATTGGTATGGATAGATATATATTACAAAATTTTATTAATTACATAAAACAAGTTACTGTCAGCATTGACATAAGCTGAACATGAATAAAACAAATAATTAGTGCCATTTTACTGTATTGGACTTGGAAAATAGCTGCAGGTATGGCTGAAAATAGCTTGTTCCATATGAACACTTCATTTGACTTCATGCATAGAATCAGACAATGTGATCCCACTGCCAATCAACTTGGCCATTAGAACAGAAATAATCTGCAAATTCTTCCCTAATCTGCCTTGCATTATCGGCACTCCTGTTGCCACCCTGTTGAAGTAGTGATTGGGGCCTGCTTCCATTATCCAGTGGAAAAACTTCTGTTTCTGTGTATTTTTTGTCTTTTGTTGTACACAGAAAGTTGTGTAGAGCAATACATGCAAGAACAACCTTTGTACATGTCTCAGGTGTTAATGATAAGCTCCTTTGAAATACTCCAAAGCGGTTGGTCAGTATACCAAAAGCATTTTTCTGATACACGTCTGGCTCTGGAAAGTCTGTAATTGAATACTTTCCTCTCCATAACTAAGTCCCGGTGGGGATATGGCTTCATGATGTTATCTTTTAGTGGAAAGGCATCGTCCCCAACAATCACATAGGGAGTATCAAGACATCTTCCAGGCAATGGCTTTGGACCTGGAATTTTCAAGGAGTTACTGTTCAGTGCCTGATTCAGTGATGAATTGGTAAATATACCTGCATCACATGACCTACCATTTGCACCAACATCTACATACACAAATCTGTAGTTAGAATCAACAAGAGCTAGGAGTACAATGCTAAACAAGTTTTTATAGTTGTAGTAGAGTGATCCTGATTTGGCAGGTGATTTTATAGATATATGCTTTCCATCCAAAGCACCAATACAGTGTGGAAACTGCCACTTCTCCTCAAATCCCTCTGCAACTTGCAGCCATTCTTCTTCTGACTGTGGCACCTGAAATCAATTTTAAATATTTTAAAAATATATTTTTCGAAATAATACCATATACTTACACTACCAATTTTATCTGACAGGAAACTAACATACTGTCAACTGAGCAGGATGGACCCAGTCAAGTGGAACAAGTGGTTCAAGAGGAGGAAAATGTGGAACCAGACAATGCACAGGCTGAAACCATGGATTGTACTCCACCACCCCCATCTAAAAGAAAGCGACAGGACAGTGTTCTCCTCCAAGTTTTGGCTACTCTTAAGTCAATTGAAAACAGAAGATCACAAAGTGAAAATAATGGAGAACTATGTTTTGCCAAATATTTGGCATCAGAGATGGCCCGAGTTTCCAATCTAAGTAAAAGGAATGAATTGAAAATTAAAGTTCAACAACTTATTTTTGAATATCAAAATGAAGAATAAGATTTTATATGTATTATGCACATGCCATCTGTCCTTAATGATAACTCATTGAGATAATTATATGAAGCTTGACTTGAAATCCTAATATATGCAAAGAATATGTATTTCAGGTCAGCTGCAAAGCTTTTTCCCAAGACATTTGTCAGCCAGTTTAAATAATAAATTATAATTTCCTGTTATTAAGGCTTTTCTGTTGTACTTCAGTGTGAGTGGTGTTCAAATATCATTGGGAGTGTGTTAGCTTTGTTACAGTAATTTATGTAGATTTTTACACCAAGTGATGCAAACCGATTCATTACAAAGCCCTACAGGTGAAAACTTAAGTTATATAATATTATGTTTACACAAGAGTGCTTTGAGATGATGAGTATTAATATTATTATTTCAATAAATCACATGGGATTTATTCGTTTTCCTCATAATGCTTGGACATCTGAAAAAAAGTCATGAAGTCATAATAACAACGTTTACACAGAACTACAGAAGTTAAACCTATAAGTAAATACACATTGTGTTTCATTACAGCTTATTGATTTATTTAGTCATCGTTTAAACATGGGGACAAAATATCAAGAATTCAAGTGTTGACATGCACCTCACCTTCAGAAAGTCCTTCTTGAGAGTTTCATAAATTGCCACACACACTTGAGGGACGAAATTGCAAATTGTGTTCTTTGGTACCCGATACAAGAATTCTAGAGACTTGTAACTGTCACCTAAATAAAAAGAAAACACAGATGATTCTTTCTGAATAATCAAAAAGTTATTGAGCGTATACATGTGGCACACCTTCGGGAGCCTCATACAACTCTTTACAGGGTTAGGGACAGCGGCTTTGCACTCAAGCATTTGGTGCTAACGCAGTCAGGAGTGGTTGGTTTATTTATAGATTGCCACGCTTATTGACAAACACAAAACAGCTGATCGACAAACAGTAGTTGATCTGTGTGATACATTAACTATAATTCATGAAATTATGACTGTTCATAGCCCTACCTGTGGCCAAATATCGAAGTGTGATGGCGAGTTTTTCTCCAGGGGGTATAGAATCACGCATGGGTGTATCAGCTTTGGTTATCATCGGTGACACTCTGCCCAGCAGTTGATCAAAACTCTCTCTGTCCATGCGTAAAAAATTGACAAAACTTTTTGTGTCCTCAGCTTCAAGTTCCCTCATTAAAGCTTTATAAGCTCCTAGATCACTTCGTCTTGCAATCCAGGGACGGACCCAGCACGAACGGTCAGCTTTGCCATGGTTAAAATCAACGAGCATTGCGACAACCGCCGCTTCCAGAACATCGTCATCACTGTCGCTGTTGTATAGGGACGCCATGACCGTATGCTAGTTTCTACAGTGCGTTAACAACATGTAAAACGAGATCTCACGATACCGAAAATTGTATACAACTTGGCCTGTGTGTGAACGCAACTCAAGACGTGCAACTTGTTGTATGCAACATGTTGTAACAAACTAGTTGCAACGTGTGAACGCACCTTAAGCTGGCCCATGTTGAAGTTTGCTGGACCTTTACGCTCTCCTCCCACGAACACACCAGACATGTTGGAGACATGTCACGGCAGTTAGAGGGTTGGTTATATAGCCGTGGGCCATCTAGTTGGACATACTCATTGACGATTTGAGCACGATGTATTGTTGAAAATTACTGCACATAATTCTGGCGACTGACACGACAGGACGCGCAGTTCGTCCCCATTGCGCTGTCCCCACGCGTCTCTTTCAATAGTCAGATTGTGTCATGTGTGATACAGCTCCAACCCAACCCGTTTGATGTTTCCTCTCCCACAGTCAAGAACATACACTTCAGTGTGTCCAGCATTCGGGGAAGCCGGGACAGTGGAACATCTGAGTTAGCAAACACTTCAGAAAGACCATATACTTCAATGTGGCCAGCATTCGGGGAAGCCGGAACAGTGGAACATCTGAGTTAGCAAACACTTCAGAAAGACCATACACTTCAATGTGGCCAGCATTCGGGGAAGCTGGGACAGTGGAACATCTGAGTTAGCAAACACTTCAGAAAGACCATACACTTCAATGTGGCCAGCATTCGGGGAAGCCGGGACAGTGGAACATCTGAGTTAGCAAACACTTCAGAAAGACCATACACTTCAATGTGGCCAGCATTCGGGGAAGCCGGGACAGTGGAACATCCGAGTTAGCAAACACTTCAGAAAGACCATACATTTGAATGTGGCCAGCATTCGGGGAAGCCGGGACAGTGGAACATCTGATTTAGCAAACACTTCAATGTGGCCAGCATTCGGGTAAGCCCGGACAGTGGAACATCTGAGTTAGCAAACATTTCAATGTGGCCAGCATTCGGGGAAGCCGGAACAGTGGAACATCTGAGTTAGCAAACACTTCAATGTGGCCTGCATTCGGGGAAGCCGCGACAGTGGAACATCTGAGTTAGCAAACACTTCAATGTGGCCAGCATTCGGGAAAGCCGGGACAGTGGAACATCTGAGTTAGCAAACACTTCAGAAGGACCATACACTTCAATGTGGCCAGCATTCGGGGAAGCCGGGACAGTGGAACATCTGAGTTAGCAAACATTTCAATGTGGCCAGCATTCGGGGAAGCCGGAACAGTGGAACATCTGAGTTAGCAAACACTTCAATGTGGCCAGCATTCGGGGAAGCCGGGACAGTGGAACATCTGAGTTAGCAAACACTTCAATGTGGCCAGCATTCGGGGAAGCCGGGACAGTGGAACATCTGAGTTAGCAAACACTTCAGAAAGACCATACACTTCAATGTGGCCAGCATTCGGGGAAGCCGGAACAGTGGAACATCTGAGTTAGCAAACACTTCAATGTGGCCAGCATTCGGGGAAGCCGGGACAGTGGAACATCTGAGTTAGCAAACACTTCAGAAAGACCATACACTTCAATGTGGCCAGCATTCGGGAAGCCGGAACAGTGGAACATCTGAGTTAGCAAACACTTCAATGTGGCCAGCATTCGGGGAAGCCGGGACAGTGGAACATCTGAGTTAGCAAACACTTCAATGTGGCCAGCATTCGGGGAAGCCGGGACAGTGGAACATCTGAGTTAGCAAACACATCAGAAAGACCATACACTTCAATGTGGCCAGCATTCGGGGAAGCCGGGACAGTGGAACATCTGAGTTAGCAAACATTTCAATGTGGCCAGCATTCGGGGAAGCCGGGACAGTGGAACATCCGAGTTAGCAAACACTTCAATGTGGCCAGCATTCGGGGAAGCCGGGACAGTGGAACATCTGAGTTAGCAAACACTTCAGAAAGACCATACACTTCAATGTGGCCAGCATTCGGGAAGCTGGGACAGTGGAACATCTGAGTTAGCAAACACTTCAGAAAGACCATACACTTCAATGTGGCCAGCATTCGGGGAAGCCGGGACAGTGGAACATCTGAGTTAGCAAACACTTCAGAAAGACCATACACTTCAATGTGGCCAGCATTCGGGGAAGCCGGGACAGTGGAACATCTGAGTTAGCAAACACTTCAGAAAGACCATACATTTGAATGTGGCCAGCATTCGGGAAGCCGGGACAGTGGAACATCTGATTTAGCAAACACTTCAATGTGGCCAGCATTCGGGTAAGCCCGACAGTGGAACATCTGAGTTAGCAAACACTTCAATGTGGCCAGCATTCGGGAAGCCGGAACAGTGGAACATCTGAGTTAGCAAACACTTCAATGTGGCCTGCATTCGGGGAAGCGGGACAGTGGAACATCTGAGTTAGCAAACACTTCAATGTGGCCAGCATTCGGGGAAGCCGGGACAGTGGAACATCTGAGTTAGCAAACACTTCAGAAAGACCATACACTTCAATGTGGCCAGCATTCGGGGAAGCTGGGACAGTGGAACATCTGATTTAGCAAACACTTCAATGTGGCCAGCATTCGGGGAAGCCGGGACAGTGGAACATCTGAGTTAGCAAACATTTCAATGTGGCCAGCATTTGGGGAAGCCGGAACAGTGGAACATCTCAGTTAGCAAACACTTCAATGTGGCCAGCATTCGGGGAAGCAGGGACAGTGGAACATCTGAGTTAGCAAACACTTCAATGTGGCCTGCATTCGGGGAAGCCGGGACAGTGGAACATCTGAGTTAGCAAACACTTCAATGTGGCCAGCATTCGGGGAAGCCGGGACAGTGGAACATCTGAGTTAGCAAACACTTCAGAAAGACCATACACTTCAATGTGGCCAGCATTCGGGGAAGCCGGGACAGTGGAACATCTGAGTTAGCAAACACTTCAGAAAGACCATACACTTCAATGTGGCCAGCATTCGGGGAAGCCGGAACAGTGGAACATCTGAGTTAGCAAACACTTCAATGTGGCCAGCATTCGGGGAAGCCGGGACAGTGGAACATCTGAGTTAGCAAACACTTCAATGTGGCCAGCATTCGGGGAAGCCGGGACAGTGGAACATCTGAGTTAGCAAACACTTCAGAAAGACCATACACTTCAATGTGGCCAGCATTCGGGGAAGCTGGGACAGTGGAACATCTGATTTAGCAAACACTTCAATGTGGCCAGCATTCGGGGAAGCCGGGACAGTGGAACATCTGAGTTAGCAAACATTTCAATGTGGCCAGCATTCGGGGAAGCCGGAACAGTGGAACATCTGAGTTAGCAAACACTTCAATGTGGCCAGCATTCGGGGAAGCCGGGACAGTGGAACATCTGAGTTAGCAAACACTTCAGAAAGACCATACACTTCAATGTGGCCAGCATTCGGGGAAGCCGGGACAGTGGAACATCTGAGTTAGCAAACACTTCAGAAAGACCATACTCGCTTCAATGTGGCCAGCATTCGGGGAAGCCGGAACAGTGGAACATCTGAGTTAGCAAACACTTCAATGTGGCCAGCATTCGGGGAAGCCGGGACAGTGGAACATCTGAGTTAGCAAACACTTCAATGTGGCCAGCATTCGGGGAAGCCGGGACAGTGGAACATCTGAGTTAGCAAACACTTCAGAAAGACCATACACTTCAATGTGGCCAGCATTCGGGAAGCCGGGACAGTGGAACATCTGAGTTAGCAAACACTTCAGAAAGACCATACACTTCAATGTGGCCAGCATTCGGGAAGCCGGAACAGTGGAACATCTGAGTTAGCAAACACTTCAATGTGGCCAGCATTCGGGGAAGCCGGGACAGTGGAACATCTGAGTTAGCAAACACTTCAGAAAGACCATACACTTCAATGTGGCCAGCATTCGGGGAAGCCGGAACAGTGGAACATCTGAGTTAGCAAACACTTCAATGTGGCCCAGCATTCGGGGAAGCCGGGACAGTGGAACATCTGAGTTAGCAAACACTTCAATGTGGCCAGCATTCGGGGAAGCCGGGACAGTGGAACATCTGAGTTAGCAAACACATCAGAAAGACCATACACTTCAATGTGGCCAGCATTCGGGGAAGCCGGGACAGTGGAACATCTGAGTTAGCAAACATTTCAATGTGGCCAGCATTCGGGGAAGCCGGGACAGTGGAACATCCGAGTTAGCAAACACTTCAATGTGGCCAGCATTCGGGGAAGCCGGGACAGTGGAACATCTGAGTTAGCAAACACTTCAGAAAGACCATACACTTCAATGTGGCCAGCATTCGGGGAAGCTGGGACAGTGGAACATCTGAGTTAGCAAACACTTCAGAAAGACCATACACTTCAATGTGGCCAGCATTCGGGGAAGCCGGGACAGTGGAACATCTGAGTTAGCAAACACTTCAGAAAGACCATACACTTCAATGTGGCCAGCATTCGGGGAAGCCGGGACAGTGGAACATCCGAGTTAGCAAACACTTCAGAAAGACCATACATTTGAATGTGGCCAGCATTCGGGGAAGCCGGGACAGTGGAACATCTGATTTAGCAAACACTTCAATGTGGCCAGCATTCGGGTAAGCCCGGACAGTGGAACATCTGAGTTAGCAAACACTTCAATGTGGCCAGCATTCGGGGAAGCCGGAACAGTGGAACATCTGAGTTAGCAAACACTTCAATGTGGCCTGCATTCGGGGAAGCCGGGACAGTGGAACATCTGAGTTAGCAAACACTTCAATGTGGCCAGCATTCGGGGAAGCCGGGACAGTGGAACATCTGAGTTAGCAAACACTTCAGAAAGACCATACACTTCAATGTGGCCAGCATTCGGGGAAGCTGGGACAGTGGAACATCTGATTTAGCAAACACTTCAATGTGGCCAGCATTCGGGGAAGCCGGGACAGTGGAACATCTGAGTTAGCAAACATTTCAATGTGGCCAGCATTCGGGGAAGCCGGAACAGTGGAACATCTGAGTTAGCAAACACTTCAATGTGGCCAGCATTCGGGGAAGCCGGGACAGTGGAACATCTGAGTTAGCAAACACTTCAATGTGGCCTGCATTCGGGAAGCCGGGACAGTGGAACATCTGAGTTAGCAAACACTTCAATGTGGCCAGCATTCGGGAAGCCGGGACAGTGGAACATCTGAGTTAGCAAACACTTCAGAAAGACCATACACTTCAATGTGGCCAGCATTCGGGGAAGCCGGGACAGTGGAACATCTGAGTTAGCAAACACTTCAGAAAGACCATACACTTCAATGTGGCCAGCATTCGGGGAAGCCGGAACAGTGGAACATCTGAGTTAGCAAACACTTCAATGTGGCCAGCATTCGGGGAAGCCGGGACAGTGGAACATCTGAGTTAGCAAACACTTCAATGTGGCCAGCATTCGGGGAAGCCGGGACAGTGGAACATCTGAGTTAGCAAACACTTCAGAAAGACCATACACTTCAATGTGGCCAGCATTCGGGGAAGCCGGGACAGTGGAACATCTGAGTTAGCAAACACTTCAATGTGGCCAGCATTCGGGGAAGCCGGGACAGTGGAACATCTGAGTTAGCAAACACTTCAGAAAGACCATACACTTCAATGTGGCCAGCATTCGGGGAAGCCGGGACAGTGGAACATCTGAGTTAGCAAACACTTCAGAAAGACCATACACTTCAATGTGGCCAGCATTCGGGGAAGCCGGGACAGTGGAACATCTGAGATAGCAAACACTTCAATGTGGCCAGCATTTGGGGAAGCCGGGACAGTGGAACATCTGAGCAAACACTTAGCAAACATTTCAATGTGGCCAGCATTCGGGGAAGCCGGGACAGTGGAACATCTGAGTTAGCAAACACTTCAATGTATACTTCAATGTGGCCAGCATTCGGGGAAGCCGGGACAGTGGAACATCTGAGTTAGCAAACACTTCAGAAAGACCATACACTTCAATGTGGCCAGCATTCGGGGAAGCCGGGACAGTGGAACATCTGAGTTAGCAAACACTTCAGAAAGACCATACACTTCAATGTGGCCAGCATTCGGGGAAGCCGGGACAGTGGAACATCTGAGATAGCAAACACTTCAATGTGGCCAGCATTTGGGGAAGCCGGGACAGTGGAACATCTGAGTTAGCAAACATTTCAATGTGGCCAGCATTCGGGGAAGCCGGGACAGTGGAACATCTGAGTTAGCAAACACTTCAATGTGGCCAGCATTCGGGGAAGCCGGGACAGTGGAACATCTGAGTTAGCAAACACTTCAATGTGGCCAGCATTCGGGGAAGCCGGGACAGTGGAACATCTGAGTTAGCAAACACTTCAGAAAGACCATACACTTCAATGTGGCCAGCATTCGGGGAAGCCGGGACAGTGGAACATCTGAGTTAGCAAACACTTCAGAAAGAACATACATTGTCATTTCTTGTGATATTACTTTCTCCTCGTACGTTGCCTGGGGTTCATATCTGTGACTCTCTGATCATTTACACATGCACCTTGGTACCAAGTACTTAAGTACGTAACTGTTTAACAGGGACTGGAAAAAACAGCTTATATCCAGGACTGAATTTCTCTCTTGTGAATCTTTGTCATAATGTACTTTCATTTTGTCCTGGGATTCTCATAATCACATATTGCATCTTCACACGCTGCCGAAAGCCTCGAAATGAGGAAACACCTCCATCGAAATCATGTCAGACAATTACACAGAAGCAAAGTCTGTTGAACTAACTAACTAACTGAGTTTGGTTTTACGCCGCTTTTAGCAATATTCCAGCAACATCACGGCGGGGGACACCAGAAATGGGCTTCACACATTGTACCCATGTGGGGATTCGAACCCGGGTCTTCGGCGTGACGAGCCAACGCTTTAACCATTAGGCTACCCCACCGCTCCAAAGTCTGTTGAAACTTCCTAAAGCTCCCTGATATTCAGGATGATGCTCACTACATATAACCCGAGCTGGGCCTAACGGATGTATAGACTGATGGAAAACACCTGGCGTGACATTAGTACCCTGATCTGACTGGTCGGAGGAGCACGTTACCATGGATTCAAATGGTGCGTATGCAAAACGTCATCGACGAAAGCAGGAGACGAAGGACACTGCAGCAATGGTGCAAGCGACAACTTAGTTTAACGAGTGCTGTCGGCAAAGTATTAGTGAGTAGCCTTTGACAGATGTCATGTGACGTGAATAAAAATATAATGATTATACCAGGAGGTAGATCGCCTGAAAGAGTTAAAACCGGCATATAACAAGGCGGAAACTGTCGACAGAGTGCCACTTTATTCGTCATTGAAAACGGTAAAATAAAACAAAATATATAAAAATATATGTAGAATAATCTTCATCATTCTCCACACAATGTAACAAGTAACAACACAAGATAGGTTGGTCCGGCCCAGATCTAGTAGCGAGGCAGGTGTTCAGGGCGTCAGGTGTAGGTGGCACCGATAGGTGTCGGGGGCATGTCTCACAGATAGGTGTTAGCGACAGGTGTCGGTGGACATGTCTCATAGATAGGTGTTAGCGACAGGTGTCGGTGGACATGTCTCATAGATAGGTGTTACCGACAGGTGTCGGTGGACATGTCTCACAGATAGGTGTTAGCGACAGGTGTCGGTGGACATGTCTCACAGATAGGTGTTAGCGACAGGTGTAGGGGATTGGTGTTTGTAGAACTGTTGCAGATCAATACATAATTGTGTAGGACTGTTTTAGTGCAATGTGGGACAGAATATTGGTATTGTTTGGGCCTCGATAATAGACTGACGGTGTTACTAACATTACACTTCTCAGTTCGTCAGATGTTCAACAAGTGGTTGTCTTGAAAGCACAACGTCCTCAGATCATTGTTCAGCAATAGTAGGAGCTAATATTTCAATTCAGTGAAATCTCTGACGCTATACCACATACTGGTAAACGCTAAACATGACACACCCTGACATACATGTCATCTTCCTCCATATGCTATTGTTCTCCCAACTTGTCTTCAAATAACTGTCTTGTCACTACCATCCACCAATATCTCTATACAACTCAGGATGCAGACATGCCCGTCTCCTGCAGCCACTGGCGAAGCAGCACTTGGTACCGGATGGACAGTGGCTGTCGGTGTTGCAGTGTTGTAAGAAGACGTCACAGAAGAGCCACATCATGGGGAAACTTCGGGGGCATCTGCCCGGCCTCGTGGTGGTTGCAACGGGAACAGGAGTTGTAGGAACAGGGCCTAGGAGAAGAAGGAAGTTGTCGGTTAGCAACTCAACTTGACATGATACCACGCTATGGGGAATATATATATCACAGTTATCCTGACACGATGCTTTAGAGCTAATAGTTCAGGAAAGAGATAAAAGTCACCAGAATACTGGGTATTTTTCTCAACGCAATGTTGGAATGGTGGCTCTAATAAACACCTGGAACGTAATCGTTATATTTCTGGCTGGTTCCGGGGTGCAGGGGGACTTGAATCTTTACTTGGTACCTTGGAGTAGAGCAATGTGTATATCGACTTGCTATAAGGGATATGGAAGGTATGGCAACTTAGTACTATGGTATAGGGGAAGACGTATATCGACTTGCTATGAAGGTATATGGAAAGTATGGCAACTTAGTACTAGGTACAGGGGAAGATGTATATCGACTTGCTATGAAGGTATATGGAAGGTATGGCAACTTGGTACTAGGTATAGGGGAAGACGTATATCGACTTGCTATGAAGGTATATGGAAGGTATGGCAACTTAGTACTAGGTATAGGGGAAGACGTATATCGACTTGCTATGAAGGTATATGGAAGGTATGGCAACTTAGTACTAGGTATAGGGAAGACGTATATCGACTTGCTATGAAGGTATATGGAAGGTATGGCAACTTAGTACTAGGTATAGGGGAAGACGTATATTAGACTTGGGGAAGACTATGAAGGGTATATGGAAGGTATGGCAACTTGGTACTAGGTATAGGGAAGACGTATATCGACTTGCTATGAAGGTATATGGAAGGTATGGCAAGTTAGTACTATGGTATAGGGAAGACGTATATCGACTTGCTATGATATGGAATATGGAAGGTATGGCAACTTAGTACTAGGTATGGCAAGTTACAGGGGAAGACGTATATCGACTTGCTTTGAAGGTATATGGAAGGTAAGGCAACTTAGTACTAGGTATAGGGGAAGACGTATATCGACTTGCTATAAGGGATATGGAAGGTATGGCAAGTTAGTACTATGGTATAGGGGAAGACGTATATCGACTTGCTATGAAGGTATATGAAAGGTATGGCAACTTAGTACTAGGTACAGGGGAAGACGTATATCGACTTGCTATGAAGGTATATGGAAGGTATGGCAACTTATTACTAGGTACAGGGGAAGACGTATATCGACTTGCTATGAAGGTATATGGAAGGTATGGCAACTTAGTACTAGGTACAGGGGAAGACGTATATCGACTTGCTATAAGGGATATGGAAGGTATGGCAAGTTAGTACTATGGTATAGGGGAAGACGTATATCGACTTGCTATGAAGGTATATGGAAGGTATGGCAACTTAGTACTAGGTACAGGGGAAGACGTATATCGACTTGCTATGAAGGTATATGGAAGGTATGGCAACTTAGTACTAGGTATAGGGGAAGACGTATATCGACTTGCTATAAGGGATATGGAAGGTATGGCAAGTTAGTACTATGGTATAGGGGAAGACGTATATCGACTTGCTATGAAGGTATATGGAAGGTATGGCAACTTAGTACTAGGTACAGGGGAAGACGTATATCGACTTGCTATGAAGGTATATGGAAGGTATGGCAACTTATTACTAGGTATAGGGGAAGACGTATATCGACTTGCTATAAGGGATATGGAATATGGAAGGTATGGCAACTTAGTACTAGGTATACTTGCTATGGATAGAAGGTATAGACTATATCGACTATAAGGGATATGGAAGGTATGGCAACTTAGTACTATGGTATAGGGGAAGACGTATGTCGACTTGCTATGAAGGTATATGGAAGGTATGGCAACTTGGTACTAGGTATAGGGGAAGACGTATATCGACTTGCTATGAAGGTATATGGAAGGTATGGCAACTTAGTACTAGGTACAGGGGAAGACGTATATCGACTTGCTATGAAGGTATATGGAAGGTATGGCAACTTAGTACTAGGTATAGGGGAAGACGTATATCGACTTGCTACGTAGGTATATGGAAGGTATGGCAACTTAGTACTAGGTATAGGGGAAGACGTATATCGACTTGCTATAAGGGATATGGAAGGTATGGTAAGTTAGTACTATGGTATAAGGGAGGACGTATATCATTAAATGATACTGTGTGACCACAGTACAATAATGATTGACCGTTAGGTGATACTGTATGACCACAGTGTAATAATGATTGACCGTGTAATGATACTGTATGACCACAGTACAATAATGATTGACCGTTAGGTGATACTGTATGACCACAGTGTAATAATGATTGACCGTGTAATGATAATGTATGACCACAGTACAATAATGATTGACCGTTAGGTGATACTGTATGACCACAGTGTAATAATGATTGACCGTGTAATGATACTGTATGACCACAGTACAATAATGATTGACCGTTAGGTGATACTGTATGACCACAGTGTAATAATGATTGACCGTGTAATGATACTGTATGACCACAGTGTAATAATGATTGAACGTTATGTGATACTGTATGACCACATTGTAATAATGACTGACCGTTAGGTGATACTGTAAAGCCAGAGTGTAATAATGATTGAACGTTAGGTGATATTGTATGACCACAGTGTAATAACGATTGACCGTTAGGTGATACTGTATGACCACAATGTAATAATGATTGACCGTGTAATGATACTGTATGACCACAGTGTAATAATGATTGAACGTTATGTGATACTGTATGACCACATTGTAATAATGACTGACCGTTAGGTGATACTGTAAAACCAGAGTGTAATAATGATTGAACGTTAGGTGATATTGTATGACCACAGTGTAATAATGATTGACCGTCAGGTGATACTGTATGATCACAGTGTAATCATGATTGGCCGTTAGGTGATATTGTATGACAAAAGTGTAATAATGATTGACCGATAAATGATACTGTATGACCACGGTGTAATAATGATTGGTCGTTAGGTGATATTGTATGACCACAGTGTAATAATGATTGACCGTCAAATGATACTGTATGACCACAGTACAATAATGATTGACCGTTTGGTGATATTGTATGACCACATTGTAATAATGATTGACCATTAGGTGATACTGTATGACCACTATATAATGCTGTTTGACCATTATGTGATACCGTATGGCCACTGTGTAATGCTGTTTGACCATTATGTGACACTGTATGGCCACTATATAATTCTGTTTGACCACTATGTAATGCTGTTATTATCTGATACTGTATGGCCAATATATAATGCTGTTAGACCATTATGTGATACTGTATGGCCACTATGTAATGCTGTTAGACCATTATGTGATACTGTATGACCACAATGTAATAATGTTTGACCATTATGTGACACTGTATGGCCACTATGTAATGCTGTTTGACCATTATGTGATACTGTATGACCACAATGTAATAATGTTAGACCATTATGTGATACTGTATGGCCACAATGTAATGCTGTTAGACCATTATGTGACACTGTATGGCCACTATGTAATGCTGTTAGACCATTATGTGATACTGTATGACCACAATGTAATAATGTTTGACCATTATGTGATACTGTATGACCACAATGTAATAATGTTAGACCATTATGTGATACTGTATGACCACAATGTAATAATGTTAGACCATTATGTGACACTGTATGGCCACTATGTAATGCTAATATGAAAGGTGTGTGTGTACTTACCGACGCACGTGACTATGGGGTCACAGGGTGCACGGAAGCACTGTACTTGCTGCACCTGGCACTTCAAGCCTCTTGCACACCTCTGAAATGTGCAACACCATGAGTTAGATATTAATGACATCACAGTTAAGTTCAAATATGCCTTTCAAACCGATACTGCCCCGATGTTGTTGTTTTTTCTACATGTGCTTATCTTCCAAACTACTAAGTACAAGTGGATCGAAAACGTTCAGAAGTCATTGTCCTTATGTCAGTTATGTCCGAATCCACTTTTGATAAGGCTGCAAACATAAGCCATAACCCACCCACCAAGTCCCAGACATTTCTACCCTATTCTCTACTTCTACCCCTACCCTTCAGTTGCAATCAAACCTGCGAAAACACACAAAACCTTGAAAATATGCAAATAAGAGCTTGCTCACAATTGTCGCGCAAGGGTCGGAGGGCGGAGTCGGCACGGTTGCCACGGCAGCAGTAGGGATGGTGCAGACGCTGCCACAGCCGTTACTGCAACATTTCCTGTTGCCGTTACAGTCGAAGTCCGTCTCGCATTCCGTGATGCAGATCCCCACACCATTCACTCTTGGACACTCGCCAGACTTCCCTCTTAACGTAGTGTCTCCTGCAACACACAGGCACACTTCAGTGCTCAGTAACAAGCGTACGTGTATGTTGGCGCGTTTGAGTTCGTGTGCGTGTGCATTTGTGTGTGTGTGTGTGTGTGCGCGCGCGTGTGCGGGCGTGTGCGCGCAGGCGCGTTTTGAGTTCATGTACCATTATGTGATACCGTATGACCACTATGTAATGCTGTTTGATCATTATGTGATATTTTATAACCACTGCGTAATATTGTTTGACCCTAAGGTGATACTGTATCACCACTATGTAATGCTGTTTGACCAGTATGTGATACTGTATGGCCACTATGTAGTGCTGTTTGACCATTACGTGACACTGTATGACCACTATGTAATGCTGTTTGACCATTAAGTGACACTGTATGGCCATTATGTAATGCTGTTTGACCATTACGTGACACTGTATGGCCACTATGTAATGCTGTTTGACCATTACGTGACACTGTATGACCACTATGTAATGCTGTTTGACCATTACGTGACACTGTATGGCCACTATGTAATGCTGTTTGACCATTACGTGACACTGTATGACCACTATGTAATGCTGTTTGACCATTAAGTGATACTGTATGGCCACTATGTAATGCTGTTTGACCATTACGTGACACTGTATGGCCACTATGAAATGTTAATATGAAAGGTGTGTGTGTACCCACCGACGCACGTGACTATGGGGTCACAGGGTGCACGAAAGCACTGCACCTGCTGAACATGGCACTTCAAGCCTCTTGCACACCTCTGAAATGTGCAACGCCATCAGTTAGTACTTCATAAAGACATCACAATTATGTTGAAATATGTTTTCAAACCGATACTGCCCAGATGTTACCACATCAACATTTGTTCAGATTCCAAAGGTGCCTAAAACACAAAAATAAACACACGAAAAATGAAAATATGCAAATAAGAGCTTGCTCACAATTGTCGCGCAAGGGTCGGAGGGCGGAGTCGGCACGGTTGCCACGGCAGCAGTAGGGATGGTGCAGACGCTGCCACAGCCGTTACTGCAACACTTCCTGTTGCCGTTACAGTCGAAGTCCGTCTCGCATTCCGTGATGCAGATCCCCACACCAGTCACTCTTGGACACTCGCCAGACTTCCCTGTTAACGTAGTGTCTCCTGCAACACACGGGCACACTTCAGTGCTCAGTAACAAGCGTACGTGTATGTTGGCGCGTTTGAGTTCGTGTGCGTGTGTGTGTACGTGTGTGCGTGTGCGTGTGCGTGTGCATTAATTAACTTTAGACTCCTAGGACCGACATGTACAGATGCACAGTGCCGACATGTACAGTGAGTGAGTGAGTGAGTGGCGGGAATGCGAGGTTGCGGAAGGAGAGATACCTACTGACACAGACAGCTTCACGTCGACAAGGGGGTACCTGGCAGCTGACCTCTCGGCTCTCACAGTAGTGACCTTCCGGACACAGCGCCGCCTACAGACAACAACACAGGTCACAGTTCATCTAAACATGTCACTAGTCTTCGTATGAACAAAACATTCTATCTTGTAAAATTCCCTTCACTGGCATGAAGCAGGGTCGGTACCAACGAAACATTTTCCATTGTCATGAGAAATATCTGCCAAGTCGATTGTGCGAGTTCGACTTTCGTTAAATGGATGATTACCGCCCCATCAGTGGCACTTATCACACACACATGCAAGGGCAAGCCAAACGTGCTCCTGAATAAACACGAGAACATATATGGCTCAATCCCAAACACAAAATTGCGCTGGACATAATTTTCGTCAATGATACGTCAAATATGGAAATAGCCTCTAAATGTCTACAATAAAACCTTTTGATAAGCAACGGTCGCATAGTGTTCTTGGACGTCTTGAAATGAAGAACCTTCTCAATTGTAGCTCAAACGTTGAGAATTGTAAGTCCAACAAAGTCTGAAGTAGCGGATTTATTGTTCGACATGAAGACATTGCGTAGGTGAGACTTCAAATCTGGACATATCATCCCGTGGCTACACTAATAGTTTGTGAAGACATCACTGTGACACTGAGTGTTGTGACCTTGACCTATGATCTGAGCAACAGTCCTTTGGTAGTCTGTAGTGTCTTGGGGAGGAATAACAGAAGTGCATGAATCATGACATACTCACTATACAAGGGTTGGGCAACACGGGCGGGGTGACGTCTGAAACAGGAGAGACAATAGCTGCATCATATGGGATTACAACCATCATGTAATAAGGTGGTGAGGTGAGGTGAAGTTGGGTTTAACGTCGTGCTTGAGAATATTTCGCTCATATGACGACGTGCATGCGTGTGTATGTGAATGTGCGGCTGCTTGTACTAGCCCAGACTTAAGCTGGTTTTATAGTGCTAGCCCACTGAGATACCATGCCGCAGTGAAGCATGAATACCCCACCCAGACACATTATACTGACTCCGAGCCGACCGGTCCTTGTTGTTCCCATTAATGCGGAGCGCCAGGCAGGGACCAACAAGTACCATATTTTAACGTCTTTTGGTATGACGCGGTCGGGGATCGAACCCGCGACCTTCCGCTCTCCGGGCGGACGCTCTTACCACTACACTACGGTGGCGGTCCAGCATGTAATAAGACAAGAGGCACTCACACGTCTCCGGAAAGTATCAAGATTCAGCTGCTGACTCACCTCTGGGCGTCCAGCAGCACGTGGTCTGTGTGTCCATTACCTCAAAGTTACAGGTGGTCTGACTGGGGCAGTCTCGGTCGGACAGACAAGACAGGGCGGACAGGTTCCTGGCCAGCACGGGGTCGCCATAGCGACAGCTGCTCACTCTTAGTCTGGGTTCTGAGAAAATGGAAGTTACACGATGATACAGTTGCAGCCCTGTTGGAGGTACATACCTGTTACACTTACGTGTTACAGATACGTTACATTACATCATGTTACGAATACATCACGTCACAGTAATATTTATCACAGATCTGCTCATCACAACAGAGGGTGTTGTGGGATATGGAGGTAGCTACATACGTGTACACACGGGTTCTGGCGGGCATGTTGTACAGCCGGTCTGCACGAGACGGCATTCCTGTCCTGGAGCACATCCTTGACCCTACAATACAAGGCACATATCTTTACAGTATATTGACACTGTTTGGAATACAAGGTGCAAACATTTACCGTGAACTCGACAGAGTCGGGATTTGCCTCTTTCGAATGTGAGATATAGGGTTTGACTGCACTATACTTGAAAAATGATGGTGGCTGATTTTTAACCGTTTTTAACCGAGATATCATCTCCTCCTCGGGGATAAACTAGCAGAAAGCGACACGATGTAGGCCTTAAAATTTGCTTGCAACTTTAGCCCGACTACTTGAAACACACCAAATGTCAGTTGCCTGAATCGATGACCGTGGCAGAAGAAAAGCTGATTCTCATAGCTGGCAGAGATGTCACATTATACAGTTATAGACACAATCAGCAGGGGTGGGCGATAATACCGGTTAACCGGTATATTTTTCGCGAACTGGTTCTCCCGATACAATCGGTAATTTTCGTGATGTAGTCAAAACTACTAATAACATTTGTATTTCCTTTATATATACAGTATATCATTATACATGAATAGTTTTGAGAATGTTTATTGTTCATATGATTGCATTTGCGAGACTTTCAAACCATATATATAAAAAATAGATTGGTATCAGCAAACCAAAATGTCGGACGCCGCTGCAAACGCTTTTTCTAGAGTTCCAAAGTTTAGAGCGAAGTCTTCAGTTTGGAAACATTTTCAATTGATCTCTTGTACAATCACATCTGAGCCCTGACAGTGGCCAGTGGCATTGTTTCAAAAGAGAGGAAACAGTTATTTAATTACCTTAAACCATGTGTGATACTTTCCCAATATATTGCAATACGTATTGCAATACGTACTGCAATACGCCAACACATATCACAATATATCGCAATACAATAATGTTGGCAATACCCAACCCTAACCATCAGTTGTGAAGCGGATCATTCTTAGCCTGGATTATCAGCCTATTTAGAAGGTTAAACCACCTATGCAATGAAAGGAATATTGCCATCATTGTCTTTGATGCTTTTATCACTGCTTTTGGATTAAACTGTCATTAAATTTGAGTTGATACTCAATTTTGTATTATCACTGTTATACCTTTGCAGTAATAAGCATTAATTTGTAAAGCTAGTTTTGATTTTAGAATACAATGTTAATTACATTCCACCTTATTGCTTCACACCGGGTTCTTTTACGGTCTGATTCCCGGTTCACGTTTCCCGTAACACAAGTACAACGGTTGTAAACAACGTGCTGGTAGAGAACGTGGCTAGTTGCTGGGTCATCCCAGTCTACATCCCGCTCAGTGTAACAACGTCTCGGGCAGATCTTATCTTGCTCTTAACCCGACCTGATCAAGCAAGTCCACAACACTTACCTGACATCAGTGTCGTTTATAGTTTAATTAGTGATGGCTATACCGAATACTCCGACCTGTATAAAGTATGGTAATGTATGATTCACTGCTGGGGAGTGGAAACGGAAATATGTAAATGAATATTATACAGCCTCGCTTAGTGAAGCATTGTGATTGGTTTGTTGTCATATTGCTGACTTCTGATTGGTTAGATATAACACACACCTCTGCCTCTTTCTGCCTGCAAGGATCTCTGTACTGTTGCTGGGCAACCGCTGTCAGCGCGAGACACACCTGAAAGGATAACGTCATTACAAGTTCAGTAGAACACACCTCAACAGATACAATGACTCGGTATAGTTGTGTGTTGTATGTGTTTGTGTGTGTGTTGTGTATCGTCACACACATCAATAATCAGGTCTGTGTGTGTGTGACATGTTGGGTACAGTCAAAATACCCACAGAACTAAACATCACAACATCCACGTCAACTAAACAACTGTATGACGCATCTACCAAACAATGTCGTCATCAACCAAACAATGTCGTCATCAACCAAACAATGTCGTCATCGACAAAAACAATGTCGTCACCAACCAAACAATGTCGTCATCGACAAAACAATGCTCTTGGACGTCATAAAACCCTGCGTCGATGTGCAGATGTAGCAGGAAGACGACGGGGACGTTTATAGAAGTGTCTTCGTGTAAATTCAGATTCATGTAACATTTGAAGAGATAGTACAGGCCGGCAGTTGTGTGATTAAAATCAAATAGTCTTGTTCTTAGTTTTGTCCGCAGTTACGAATCTTTTGAAAGATGTTTGCTGGTGGGATGTCATAAACATTTATTTTGTCTACGGAAATAACGTCGGTGTCATAATTGGCGCTGGTCCATGGACACGCACTGACTAAAGACAAATCTGTTCGGGATACTAGCTCACTCCCTTTGAAAAGATAGCGTTTTAGTAACTGAAATACGATATCTTTTCGACACTCATATCTTTCAAATACATTTAATCAGGTTTATTTTGTAAGATGTGCAGTAGTAATAGAAATGAAGATGAAGTCCACTTCCTGTTTGACTATGACAGATATGCAACATTACAAAGGTTAATCAGGTTTAACTCGACGCTGGAACATACGCCCCGGCCGACTGAATGACACCTTCCTAGCAGTGCCTGGTGTTACCACCTGACTGGTGTCCCGTATGTCAGCCAGAGGCGTTACTGTGACGGAAGCAGGAACAACGTCTCCGTCATCAGTAGACGGGAGTGTCAGCCCATAATCCCTGTAATTGTGACAGGAGTGACTGACACAATCCCCCATGTTCTTTATAGATTAAACTTCAAGTATTC